AAGAATACCAAAGACGGGGCAGAAGAGAGGTACCAAGCCAGCTGGGCCGATGCACAGAGGTCTGAGAGGGGGCGATGAACTGGCTCTCGGAAGAACACAAGAGACGGAATTAGGCAGCAGGGAAGGGGGTTCTAGAGGTACAGCCGGAAATTATACGTCAGATTTGCCCTTTGAGAGATTTGAGTCCGGGGTGCAACCACTCTTCAATTATTTACTCCCTGTTTTTGTAAGTGCTTCTTCAGATGCAGCCTAGCTCCAGGTCAGAACTATGGGGGTCGGGGCTTCCGCAGGGTAGCCTTGGGTACGCAGCTTTCATTTAGTATTAATTAATTTATGTCTGCCTCTTTGAAAAAAAATAATAACCCGAGGTGAAGCAAATCCTAATCTCTCTGAATCTCATTTTCTTCATCTGACAAATTGGGCTCCTGATGCCAAGCGGCCAGGTGGCCAGGTGGCCAGGTGTGAGGCAGGGAAGATGAAATGGGAGCCCGGGTGGAGTCCCAGCACAGCGCCTGGGCCCCCCATGGGCTCTTGTCCCGCATAAATACGTGCTGTTTAGTGGGATTATAAGGCTGTTGAGAATGAGATGATTGGTGTAGAAGTGCCCTAAAAGCAAACACCCTCTGCAAATGCAAGTGATTACTGCCGTCTTTATTATTATTTTAATGTGCTCAGCAGACATGCAGTTCACAAAGGAAATAACTTGTAATAACAGCTTTCCAAGAAATTTCAGGTACTTGACGCCTTTTCCAAAGCTCTAATGGCTGGTGGGGAGTTGGGGGAAGTGGGCAGAGAGGCATTTTCAGTCCCTGTCCGTTCAAGACATTGGCAGGAAGAGAAAGGAAGGACTCAATGTTCTCCACCTCTACCTGAGCCGCCCAGGCTCAGAGACGGGGGGCCAGCTTGCTTCCCAGGCTCAGAAGTGACGAGCTGGGGCATCGGCCCACATATTGGATTCCTGAGCAAGTGCTTTCTGAATGTGCCATTCAGCATGGCCTGACAGTTAGGACGCCGGAGCTGCAGCTACCAGGCTGCACTGTTAATAATAGAACATCCTATGGCCAGGTCTGCTGGGTTCTGCCTCCCCACCTGTGGGGACTGCTCTGTCAAATGGGGAACCAGAGCAGAACCTGGCTATGGCTTCCACTGACCCAGCTGTGGAGCTTTCTGGAAAACTTCCGCCAGGCTGACTGTCCTGTTGCAGCTCATAGAGCTGGCTGCTGGAACCCCCAGAGGCCCCTGGGAAGACACAGAGGCAAGTCACCCCTAACCGCCCTGTCACCCCAGGGTCAAAGACACATGTGAAGTGAGGTCTCAAGTTCATCTGCACCTGACTGGCACAGGACTGGCATATTTCTGCGCAGCCTCTGAGAGTCACTTCTATTTCTTCCCACCCACCCTGGAATCTTGTTCTTCCTCCAGCCCAGGAAAAGCTTGCTTCGACCCACGTGCCTGACAAGCTCCTTTTGTGATTCCTGAGCACGTGTTCCGACTGTCACCTGGGGCCGAGCAGCCTGAGTTGAACCTGTCACTATTTCCTGCTCAGTCGCCTCCCTAGCCACCTACACTCACCTGCTTCTAAAAGTGCACTGAAAGAATCCCCAGTTTATTTCCATCAATCTGCTCTACTCCTTTTAATTGAACTTATTTGACTTTTCCTTAAGAGCCGGATGAGCCTGGAGTCAGGGCCTGGCCAAGGCCTTCCTTATCAATATTCCACTTGGTGCTTCTCTGCCCACCAGTGTCCAAGCACTGCCCACGTCCACAGTGGAGAGTGGTGGCAGGTGGGCAGCCCTGCCCTGACCCCTCTCTTTCCTCCGGGGAGTCCTGTCCAAGACACTGTCCCACCCTTACGACACAGCCACCCTTAAGTGTGAACGGGCACTCCACCACCCAGAACGGATAACATCTAACCATACCTGGGGCAGAAACCGTCCAACACTCCCCCTGAAGGAGGTCCGGGCATCAGAAAAATGATACCTCTTGGCTCCTTAAGGGGCCACCAGTCAGCCAGAAGGGCCTGCTTGGGCTGGAGATGAGGGTTCCACGGAAGATCCTGCCCCCACCCGACGCCCAGGTTCCTGGGCCTCAGAGTGCCACAGAAGTGCTGGCTCTGATCCCAGAGAGGCCCCTGAGAGGGTTACCGTGATTGTTAAAATGAGATGATGGGTGGAGGCTGCCAAGAAGAAAGGCGCTCGGCACAGGCAAGCTGCTGGCATTGGGACAATTATTACTATTATTAAGGTAAAGTGCTCTGCGGGCCTAAAAGCCAACAAGGGAGAAGTAAAAACAGCCAGTCCGATAAGGCTTAAAGTGTGCCGTCCTCTTCCTGAAGTCCTCCTACCGTGAGAAACAGAAAGGGCAATTCTACAGAGCTGGAATCTACATACTTCCCTCTGCAATTTGCCGTCTGCAATTCATCGTCCGTGCGGGTGTGTGAACCTGAGGGCTCCAGTGCAGGGAAGGGCTCTAATGGGCTCCTGCAACACCCTCGCCTGGGGGCCTGTGCTGAGAGCAGGACAGGCCAAGGCCAGGAGGCTACTTGCTGCTTTTCAGGACCTTCCCTCGACTCCTGAGCTCCTTCTGCAGAAGGCTGCCTGCTGCAGACGGAACTTCTCTCTCTCCCTGCTTGTTGGAGCCTTGGAGGGCTCAGTGGTCCCATTCAGCCACTGCCTGCAGGCCTGATGTGGGACCACGGCCCAGACCCCCACCCTCAGTGCCTCTGATCTGACATGACAGCCTCTCCCCACCTCCTCTCAGACCTAGGACAGGAATTCTAAGTGCCACCAGCTCTCCTCAACGACATCCGCAAAAAGCCATTTAAAAAGCAGTAGGGTTTATAGTCTGTCCTTGGCCAGTTGTACAGAAGCTGGCATGGGAGTCAGAACTCTGCCCTAGGCCCCACAGGGAAACTGGAGGAGGTGACCCTGACCTTCACACCTTGGTGCCTCCTAGGCAGGGAGCAGGGGCACCAGCAGTGAGTAGGCCGTTGTTCTCTCTAGGGAGTGCCACTCAAGTTCAGAGATACTTTCTTCACCCCCTCACTCTGCCAAGCGGGCATGAGATGGGGCCCCCACTGAGTCAGATCGTGGCGGGCCTGGTGGAGAGTCAACCTCCAGGAACTCTAGTTAGTCACCCACCTTGGCGCAACTCGTGGGAACCAACCAGAGGCAGCCTTTCAAATTACTTACCATTGTTACAGGATCATTTAACTCAAAAAAATTATCCAGGACTAAATAATCTAAACTATCTCTTCTTATTTAAAATACATACATTCCTTTGGACTCAGAGTAAAAGGCCACTTGTGCCTTACTTAACCTCTAGGTGGGTGTCTGGGACAGTTTCTTAGTCACCTTGCAAAACAAATATCCTCTACCCCTAGCAGTGGTGCAGGCCACCCTGTGTGTTGGCTCCAGTGTGGAGACTTTCACAGGGACTATGGATTACATGCGAAATAGCAACCTCAGCTACAGCGATCCTAGATTTGATAGCTGGTCATGCTGGCTCTGTCACTCCTGCCCATTTGATTGGTTGTAGATCTGTGGCCATGCAAATTAGCCAGCCAATATGTTAATGCAGGTAGGATGAGGTGGCGTTCATTAGGAGGCAGGCAGCCCTCATGGGTTGGTGTTGAGGCATAATTCATACCTTCTACACGAATGTCTCTTGGTCTCCCTCAGAACAGAATCAAAATTCCAAGGGCAGTTCTGTTTCTCCTAGTTCTTCTCAAACCGCCCCTTTCCAATAAGCCCCTTAGTGAGCAGGGAGTGGAACCAGATCCTAATCATTTTCCCCCAGACAGAGCCAGAGCTTGTAAACATCTGGCATGCGGGGACCATGTCTCTCTGGCTCCTGCATCCCTAGCATGACATCCCCTGCAAACAACTGCACAGAGATGCCAAATGGTTCTGGACGATAGTGGAAGCCCATGTCTGCTGCCAGAATCCTACACGGTCTGGGTAAAGCTGGCCTAGAACGAGCCAATCGTATCTTATCCTCCTGCCATCGGGATTGGTTTACAAATGGACATGTGACCAAATTGCAGCCAAGCATAGGCTCCCCTGAGATTCACTGGGAGGGAATCTCCTTCCTCTGGAGTGGCCCAGTCGGGAGGATGGGAACCGGGCGATCAGCAGGCCTGCGTGCAAATAACATAAGCAGGGCTGAGCGAGGCCAGAGGGAGAGAGAGAGAGACCCTGAGAACCTGGTGTGAGCAGTGGGATCTAGTTGTGCCTGAAGGGACAGCAACCCCATTGTGTGAGCAAATAGGGTTTGTATTTACAAGACAGTTTGGTTGCCAGAAGTTCTGATAATATGGTTGTGTATTTGTGCTTTTATTTTCCTATCTCCTGGTGTTCACAGAGCCAGTGACTAATAAGTGTGCGTTGACTCGCTAATTAAGGATGTTATATAGTAGCTAAAGTTCTTCTACCCTTCGTCGTCAGCAGGTCACCACAGCTCCAACCCCACTTTTGAAGTGTGTGCCTAGAAAATGCCCAGTTATCTCCCAGACAGTCTTACTACCTGTTCACTTATCAGTTGCCACCTTGGCCCCGCCCCCCATTGTGTAGTCAGATTGGAAAAAAAGGAAATGGTTTGTAGGATGGGTCCACCCAGCTCGTTATCACTCTGCCACTGCCTTCTGGAACCTAACGCCAGTAGTCACAATTGTGAACATACTAATATTACACATTTATACTTCTCTAGGTATTTTAACATGTGGCCTATTTACTCAGTTCAGCAGGTCCAAACACCCTGAATTTACCAGGGGTGATCGGGCCTTGGCCAACTGATTTACCTGAAATCCCAAAGAAACGACTCAAAAAACCAGAATGACTATTTATATATATTAACTTAGAATGAGAAATGTGGCACTTAATATTTAGTTGACAGGAAGAATGGAGAACTTACGTTGTCCACTCTGAACATGGTGTTCCTGGTAAAATAAATCTTGAGGAATTGCACTGAGGTCACTGGGTAACTACAAAACAAGGCAAATGGTCTTGGATAGCCACGTTCTTTATTTTCATCAAGCTAGAATGATCGGATGACTCATGCTTGTCCGGGGTCAGATGGTCATGTCCGCAGGTCAAAGCACCCTCTCCAACAGGCAGCCACAGACTTAAGAGATCCTTACACATTCACATACCAGTTCCCTCCTCACCTCCTTTGCATACTGAAGTTGTTCTCATCATCCAAGGCCAATTTCAACAAAAGCCTCAGAAATGGGTAACCAAGAATAAGAAGGAGGTGGAACCCATCTCTAGTGGACACCTCCTACTTGTCTACCCAACATCCATTTCCCCTCCCTTCTGACAGAACTCCAATTTAGCTCAGGTATCATGTGCTTCGGAGGAAGTCAAGTTTCTACCAGCATTAGGAGTAGGTCTGATTAGTGTCAGGTAACTCTCATATCCTTTGAAGCGATTGGTTCCAAAAAGGGCACATGACCTGACTTATGTAGATGAGGTGCACAGCTTCTGGAAACTTGCCTGACATTCTTCTCGCAAACATTCTCCTACTTGACCACGAAGCTGAATTTGGGTTGCCAACTTGCGCCTGCCTGAAGATGAAGCCAGTATCCAAAGAAGGGGCTGAGTGAGAGAAACAGCCAGAGGCTCTGGATGATGTCCACCCAGACGGGCACCCACCCTAGGACTTGACTATGCGGGACCGTAGCTGTCTTTATGGTTTAAGTGAGTCGAGCTGTGTGTCTTACTCCTTGCAGCCACGGGCAGCCGGGCTGAAGCGCCCCCTCATTTGAGGAATATTGGGAGAGACGGGCGTGTTTGTTTGGTATCCTAGGGCAAAGCGTAATATGCTCATCTCCTTTAGCAAACTTATTTGATTAGACTCCAAACCAATGCAGGTAGAACCAGGACCCTCACTACCAAATTCTAATGACCTAACTCACAAACTTCATGTCCTCCCATTCATAAGTCAAGAGAAAGGGAAAAGGAGGGAAAGGTGAGATAATAATAAGGCTAGTGCTGGGGAGAGTTGGAGAGTTTTACCTAAGAGAGCTGGGCCGTGCGGCTGGGACTGTCACCCCAGCAGCTCCCCAAATGGCAGATGCAGGGCTGGTGGGGTGGGGTGGGCTGCTGCTGCTCTGTGTGGAGCGGGATAGGGCAGCAGGGGGAGTGGGGAGGAGAGAAAGTAAGCGTTACAGCACTCTTAAAAACTGGCCAAAGCCAGCCCCAAGGCACGAAGAGCCTCATCTCTCTGTCTCCTGGATTCCTGCCTCAGCCTTCCCAGAGACGACTGCTTCAACCTTCCTTTCTTTGAAGCACAAAATTATAAACTATTCATAACCCCCCAAATACCTTTAAAATGCTGTAAGATAGACTAAAACTGGGAAACAGGGAGAAACAAAAGCGGCTCAACAGTGTACATGAGCCAATTCTGGGAAGGGACTTACTTCTGTTTCATTTCTTAAAGAACTAAATGAGACACTGTCCATGAACTTCAGTCAGAGAGCTTTCCCTGATTCTGCCACAGCATCTGGCCTGGAAAAGAGAAGACAGAGAGAGGTCACAGGTGAACAGCGGCCTTGGGGATTAATAGTTGACTTGCTGTGCAGCCCTAGAGGGCAGGACGAACTCGAGGAGTTAGTCCTCCCGAGCTTTCTTCTCTCTGCCTCCGGCCATCTCCCCCCGAGATCACCAACTAACACTCCGGCCAGAAAAACAGCATCTTTGTGATGGACACTCAGCAGGCAAAGTTATTGGTTCACACATGATGCACAGATAGCAAAGACGGGTTCCAGAGCAAGCCTGATGTGGGCCCTCGCCTGTACCTCCCCACAGTGAAGGGGGAGGAGTTTGGCTGGACAGAGAGGAGGTTCTTAGAAAAAGAGAAAGAAAGGTCATCTGGGCTGAGACACCAGAGAAGGAAGCCTGGCAGACTTCCTTTGTAATCTTGGGTGAGTAAGTGCCTTCTAGCAAAATCCAGAAGTCATAGAAGAAAATATTGGCAAATTCAAACGCACCAGCGAGGGGAAGTCATTCAATTCCTATCTCAGACAGAGGATTAATCTCCCTAATGTATAAAGACCTCCTAGAAATCAATATAATAAAGACACAACTCATAACAAAAAACAGGCAAATATTAATAGACATTTCACAGAAAAAGGCAGTACAAATGGCTCTTTTTTTTTTTTTTACTATTTTTTTTTAATATTTTATTTATTTATTTTTCGAGAGAGGGGAAGGGAAGGAGAAAGAGTGGGAGAGAAACATCAATGTACGGTTGCCTCTCATGGGTCCCCTGCTGGGAACTGGCCTGCAACCCAGAAATGTTCCCTGACTGGGAATCGAACCGCGATACTCAGGTTCGCAGGCCCGCGCTCAATCCACTGACCTACGCCAGCCAGGGCTACAAATGGCTCTTAAGCAGATGAAAGGTGCCCAACCTCGCACATCAGGAAAGAATGCAAATTCAGCCCTCGCTGGTGTGGCTCAGTGGACTGAGTGCTGGACTGGAACCAAAGGGTCGCTGGTTTGATTCCCAGTCAGGGCACATGCCTGGGTTGCGGGCCAGGCACCTAGTAGGGTGCGCTCAAGGCAACCACACATTGATGTTCCTCTCCCTCTCTTTCTCCTCCCTTCTCCTCTCTCTAAAAATAAATAAATAAAACCTTAAAAAAAAAAGAATGCAAATTAAAGCCTCATGGGGAAATATATAAAGAACTCTTGTAACTCAATATGAAGAAGAAAAATAACTCAATAAAAAAAGTAGGAAACAGATTTGAAAAGATATTTTACAAAAGTCTACAAATGGCCAAACACATGAAAAGATGCTCAACATCATTAATCACCAGGGAAATGCAAATTAAGTCTATGATTAGATATTACTGTATAGTCACTAGAATGGTTAAAACTTAAAAAACAGTCCAAAGTGTTGGTGAAAATGTAAAGCCTGTCACACTCTTACACTTGGTTGAGGGGAGTGTGAAATGATACCTACTTTGGAAAGCAACTGAATAGTTTCTTATCAAGTTAAACATGCATGTTTTATGTAGCTCAGAAATTCTACTTCTTGGTATTTACAGAAAAAAATGAAAACATATGAACACAAAGAGATTTATTTGTGCATGAATGCCTTTTAAGATTTTATTTCTTTTTAGAAAAAGGGAAAAGGAGGGAGAAAGAGATGGAGAGAAACATCGATGTGCGAGAGAAACATCTGGGTTGCCTCTCACATGCCCCCACCCAGGAACTTGGCCCAAAACCCAGGCATGCGCCCTGACTGGGAATCGAACCAGTGATCTTTTAGTGTGTAGAACAACACCCAGTCCACTGAGCCACACCAGTCAAGGCTGTCCATGAATGTTTATAGCTGCTTTATTCAGTGAAAATTCAATGGCACTTGGAGGAAAAGGTGTGTTCATTGAAGTCAGGGAGCTAGAACGTCCTGGAGGTCAGGAAGTCAGCTCTGGAAAAGACAAGACAGGCATCTTTGGTTCTCACACACCAACTGCCACAACCCACAGCAGAGGGGTGAGCCCTGGAACAAAGGGACAGATTGGTACCCAGGGGGTGGGAGTGGGTAAGAGGCTGGGCACCGCCATCCTGCAGCTTCCAGACACCAGGGGGCACTGCCATCCTGTGGAGGGGACAGCTACCACCATGCCATGACCGAAGACCCTGGGGGATACCTGCCAGACCCTAACTGTCCCCATCTCCACCCAAACCTGTGCAAAGAAGGCTGGCAGCACAGGTCCTGGGGCAGGGCGGGGTCTTCCAGGCCGAGACCCCACACCTGCTCCACTATCCCCTTACTCTTCCTTACAAAAGCACAAATCCATCAAATTACTAAGAAGGACCCCACCCTAGGCCTCCATAATCAGAATTATGGAGTGAGACCCAGGAATCTCTCATTTTACACCTCAAGGTTCTTCTAGAACCTAAAGATGGAGAAGCCCTGCCATCAGACACTGAGTGCAGAAAGCACGGGGTGTGGTGCTGCAGCCGTCCTCCCACGTCCCCACACTGCCGCTGCCCTGGACTTCCCTGGGCGGCGCCCTTTCCTGTCTGTGGGTGGCTGCAGCGGCAGGCCAGGTTACCAAGCCAGGACCGGGTGAGACTGTCTGCAGACAGACACAGTCTCAGCTCCACTTTTCCAGAGTTATTTCCATTCTCCCCTTCCTCCCAGGTCTCCTTGCCTAGAGCTGGACACACTCAGCAAATAGGGTTCATCACGGCCTGGGTGCCCGGCCCGTCAAGACCGCTACTGATCTCCACCTTCCTGAGGATCCAGGCAACAAGACAAAGGGCTGGTCCCGACCCTTGGGCAGCCACGAGGGCAAACTCTACTCCATCGATACTTCAGAACCCTCTGAGCAGCCAAAGGAGAAGAAGCGGGGAAGGACAAGCCTGGGGACTCCCCCGGAGGACACTTTTCCCCATTAAGTTATTTTTCCCTTAGGCGTCTCCTGGAGTTTTATGCAAGCCTGTTCCCATCTGAGAGGACAGGGCAGATCAATAAGGAAGGCTGACACTCCCCGGGGGGGTTGCCACAGGAGAAGGGAGTGTGGGCTGCTCCCCAGGACTCTTTGGCAACTGTCCAGGAGCCTGGTGGCGGAGTTCAGTGCTGTGACCAGAGAGATGGGTGTTCCCATTCCCACCTTTCTCAGTTCTGTCTACAAAGCCAGGGCCTGAGGCTTGGTAAGGCTTCCACCAAGGAGTCTGGGCCTCGTCCATCACTCTGAAGGGCCAGCCATTTCTAGCTCCCACCCTGCCCCACCCCAACCCCATCTACAGGAGAGTGGACAGTGTAACCCCCTGCCTGGTACCCTCCCAGGCTCTCAGACCCCAGTGTTTCTCTCTGCTACAAGCCCAAAATGACAGAAAATGCACACACACACACCCCCACCTGCTCTGATCTCAGCTCCTGTTTGCCCTTCTGGAAGGAAAACGCAGAGCCATGAGGCTCAGCGCCAGGAATAAAAAGTCTCCCATCCCAAGTACCCCGGCCAAGAGGAATGCCTGGCCCTGCCAGAGGTGAGCCAACGCGTCCGTCCCTGGGATAACCTAATTTGACTTGCTTTCTGGTTCAGCACTGTCTCCAGCAGGGACGGTGCCTCCATTAATACCGTGGAGTCTGGAGCCAACCACTGCCTGCCAAGCCTCCAGCTAATTGGAAATTGATGCCGGCCTCTGGGTAAGGGATAAATAAGCTTCTCTAGCAGCCCGAGGGCCCCCAGGGCCTCATCGCAGGCTGCGCTCCCCTGGTCCTGCAACCTGCCCTGAGAGAGACCGTGTTCCTCTTTCCAGCCACCCTTCTGGCAGACACATGGATACTCCCTCAGGGGGTGCAGGTGCCCCAACAGGGAGCAGCCCAGCTCTCACTCCAGGCCCCACTGTCCCCTGTACAGGCCCAGGGTGTACAAGGCAGCACCAAAATCTTAACAAGACAACTGCACAGCCCCTTTCCTCATTATAGGCGGGTTTATTTTTTTACTCATTTAAACATCAACAACAACACAAAAAAACCTTTTAACTATGGTCCAATCAGAGGAGTGACTCAATTTAGCAGTGAGCCAATCCAAACTTCGGCATGTGAGCTGTCAAAATTTAAGCATACCAAGCAAGGGCTATCTAACCAAGCAGCAGTTCTACCGGGGTATCATGGAAACCCCCACCGAGAGGCGGTTCTGGCTTGTGTTGGGATAACCTCTGCTCTCTCAGAGCCACCCGGAACCAGAACTGCAGACCCCAAAATGGGGTGCCCCTGGGGAATTAGGATGATGCTCCTGGCTTGGGGCTCTGTGTTTGTGTATCTGACTGTCTGGGAAGTGGGAATGGACCGGGGCACGGAAGAGGACCCCAGGCAGCAGTCCCCAGGCCCAACTCACCATCACCACCCCTAACCAGCTCTTCCACCACACTACCTGCGAGACCCCATGGACAGGACAGCCACGTGGGAGGAATCTGTGGTCCTAGCTGGTGTCCCCACTGGCATTTCCCGGACAAAGGCCCAGATACCTGCTGATGGAGAAAGAGTCAGCTTTCAAGATGGGTTCCGGTGACAACAAACACTCCCTGCTCTCCCCTGGCCCCGCAGGGCACCCCCCCCCCTCCTCTGACATGAGCTGTGACCCCATGAGGGTCAAGACAGAAGCGTTGAGCCCCCAGCCAGAGACTGCAGCTCAGGGCCCTCGGCCGAGGGGCCGAGGCCTCCCCACCGGGTCCCATCCTCTGCCCAAAGCCAGGGCTGCTGTTGAGGGCCCACTCGGGCTGCGCACAAAAGCAGAAGGACAGAAAGCTCCCAGGAGCCCCTGCCTGCAGAGGTGCCTGTTGTCTGTGTCCTCCAGGCTGGGATCTTTGATCCTCAGGACAGAAAATTCTAGCCCTGACTGATGTAGCTCAGTTGGTTGGTCATCGTCCCGCAAAGCAAAAGGACAGAAAATTCTGCCTCAAGCCTGAAGGGCTGACACAGGAGGGGACACTCAAGCACCTCACTTTTATCTAAGGGCACACTGCCCACCTGAGTGAGAGGTCTCTACACCCATCAACCCAACCTCCAAGTGGTCACCTCAGGGGGCTACCTGGCAGTGGCCTCCCTCCCCACCTCTGGCCTCCTCGCCAGGTGTCTTCTGTCCCAGTCTTCCAAGGAGGGGCTCCAGGGAGGGAGGCTGTCTTCGCTTGCTTTTGCGCATGCCCCCTGTGCACTTCCTCTCTTTCTCTGCCCCAGAGTCATCTCTTGCAGAGACAGCCCTTGCAAGCTTGTGCAACCCTCTCGGTCTCTAGGTCTATCCATCTCTCCCTTACCCTGTGCCCACTCACTCACACGTCCCCGATACCCACCCCAACACCTCCACCCCCATCTTCTCTCCAGGGCCTGAGAGTCTCTGCCTTGGCTCTTGCGTGAATGATTGAACGCTCTAATTTATTTGCCGGGAGCTGTCTCTGCGGCTCTGGCCTCAGTAACTCACGCGCCAGCCGTCTACTGGGATGTGTATAATTCAGTGTTGAGAGGGCTCTGGGATGTGCTGTTTGAGATTAAAAGGAAAAAAAAGCCAGGAAGGAGGCTTAGAGCAGATCAAAGCAGGCTGGGGAGAGGCCAGGTGGGAGGCAGGGCCCTGCCCAGGCTGCTGTGCCTCAGAAACACCGGGGGGAGTTTTCCAAACGAATGCTCCCCGAGGCCCAGCCCGATCCAATTAAACAAAGCATCAGGACTTTTTAAAAAGCATCCTTGGTGATTCTGAAAGTTCACCTAGAGATGAGTTCACCCAGGGAGTGGGGAGGGAGAGAAAAGGTGGGTGCACCCTGAGCCAAAGGGGTGTCAGGCCCGCCCCTCAACTCCCCTTTAAGGCCATGAAAGTGTTCGATGCCAGAGGACAAGGGGACAGCGAATGCACCTGGCTCTAAAAGTGGCCCTGCCCAGTTCGGTGGTTCTGGAGGTAGAGAGGGGACTCCGGCTGCTCAGACACCCCAGAGGGGCACCAAAGCAGCCTGGGCCTCTTGATTTTGTCTCTTTTCTTCCTGATCACCCACCCTCCCCTGTGCCTGCACCACCATCCTCACCGTCTAAATCCTTCCAGCTTAGACGGCACCTCCTATCTATTCAACAAGCAAATGCATGACACCTACAAAGCACCTGGCCCAGGTTTCTGGAGCAGGAAGTGGAGACGTGCTTCCTGCTTGAAGCTGCTCACAAGCAGAGGGACCCTGGGAATCACAGACAGTGCGAGACATGCCATGGGGGTCCTGGGAGCCCAGAGGCAGGGCTGTGAAATCAACCAAGGTCTGCCCAAGGGGGCTTGCAGTTTTCTGGTAGGATGGGACTCGGGAGCCAAGCTTTAAGGGGCACTGGGATTCCCCAGATGCTTTCTTGGTCTCTCACAGCCTCCATGAACAACCCCTTTTCCCCTGTGCCCATGGCATGCTGCCCCTTTTCTCCACCAGGTGTCAGGTAACAGTGTGTACACGGCTGCAACTGCAAACAGAGGGGAGGCCCTTGGGTTCAAGGAGGGTGTCTCACTCACCTGGGTAACCCCAGGCCTAGCACAGCACCTGGTACACAGTAAGTACTCAATGAACAGTTGTTGAATTTAATACAATTATGGGTCTTTTGTCAGGGAGGGAGCAGCAAAGCCAGGGCCTTCCAGGTGGCCACATACTCAGGCTTCCGTGGGCCCAGGTCCTGCATCTCCCTGATGTCAGGACCTGTGTTCACTCCAAGCACCGGTGAGAAGATGGGGCAGCTGAGGAGGTTTCTGAAACTGGAGCAGCTGTGAGGCCTTGAAGAAAGCCAACAGCAAGAAGGAATGAGGAGGGCTGTGAGGCTTACGGGCAGGGGGAGGGGCAATGCAGATGCCCACCCCACAAGGAGGGCCAGGAGCCAGGGGCCTGCAAGCACAGCCTCTGCAGGGCACCTAGTGGACAGGGCTTCTTGCATAAGGGGACCAGGCAGACCCCACTGATGTGCACCAGGCCTGAGCACAATTCACAGAAGGGATAAAGGACAAGGAAAGGGACTGAGAAGGGCCTGGAGATATTCTTGAAGAAGAAAGTGGGGTAGGAGAAAAGACAGCTCACTGGTGGCGTGTGATCGATGCAAGTGATCAGGTCAATGTGGAAGAGAAACATGGCCCGAGGCCACTGGGAAACCTGGAATGGCCAGCATGGGGCGAGGTGTCCCTCACAGGACAAGCCCGCCTAAGCCTCAATGCTTATCCCACCAGGGTGGAGGTGGTCAAGGATCCTCTTGTGTGTTTTGTTTTGTTTTTTCAAAATATAGTGGCTCAGGCCCATCTGTCACAGAGATTTTAATCTGGCCAGGAAGGGGCCTTGAGTTGTGTGGTTTTTCATGGGTTTTTTGGGGGGAGGATGTTGGAAATAAAGGAAATTAATATATGTCAAGTGCTTAGAAGGGCTCACATAAGCATTCGATAAATGGTAACTCCTTATTTATTATTATCCAAAAAGTACACATTGAATATCTACTCTGTGCAGCACTCGAATAATCAACACTGATAAGCCAACACCACCACCCTCTTGGGGTTGACAACTTGTAAAGGGAGAGGTTAAAACCAGTGGATTCAAAGAGTGCTATATCCCTCCATTATCAAGGTCCGTCTTTCCTGCCCCCTGAATCCATCCACTTCACTCCATCCTCATTGCCTGCAGCCCTGGTCCATACCAGTATCCCTTCCTACCAGGATGGTTCCCTGGTTTTCTCTGCCTGCAGTCTTGCAACAGGGTTACAGGGGGATTGTCTAAAGGCACCTCTTCCTCCTCCTCTCCTGCCAATTCCCAAATCTCTCCTAGAGCACGCCACCGGAGAACAAAACAAGACAACCGAATAGGATGGACCAGATTTGGTGGCTTTCTTTCATTAACATCATGCCTAGTGTGGTGCTGTTCTTGTGATGCATGTGCAGGGTGTGTGTGTATTGGACGCCATCTAGTGGACAGCAGGGCAGCTTTTTTCCAGCTTATGAATAAACTCCCCAAGCCCAAGGCCAGTCTCCTGATATCCCAGGCTTAGTAGTACAGAGCAAGATCTAAAAATTAAAGATTATCCTTGACACCACGATTAGGTCGATGTAGCAAAGGAGATTTACACCCTACAGGCACCCTGCCTATCAATGTGCTAAGTGGACAGTGTCAACAATGAGCCAGATGGCCTTTGACCTCAGGTATACCCAGGTAAGATGGATAAACCAGCTATGTGAGTAGATTATTATAATGTAGGATTTGGCATACAGCTGAGGAGAGTCCATGGGGCAAGACTAGTCTCTGGGAAGCTTTGAGAGAAGGCTTCTTTGGTTATAATCCCAGGGTTCAGTCCCTGGTTGTGGAGGGCCCTGCCCTCCATGCCCCATCCATGGTTAATCCAGGTGATTGAAATTTGCCCCTGGAGTCTGAATCATCACAGACCTACTCACTGCCATTTCCCTACATCCCTGCCCATGCCTTTATCTGCCAATGAGAGAATGCCTCTTTCCAGAACATTAGCCCGTAACCACATAAAGTAATTGTGCTCCTATAGGGACAGCATGGGGGAGGCATGGACGAGGCCAGCTGCACACTGTCCCACTCTGCCACTTGGCAGCTCTGTGACCTTCAGAAAAATCTCATTACCTCAAGGCCTCAGTTGTAAATCCAGGACACAGATCCAAGATCTCTTCCCCTTTAAAAAGTCTGGAGTTTTTGCTGCATGTTATTATATTCCAGGGAATTAAATTCAACTCCATTATTTCTCAATAAGTCAAATAACAAATCCCCACATAGTAGGGCTCTAGTGTCATTCAAAAAATCAAATCTGAAAATGATAAACTGTGTATATTTAGTTGTAACAAAATTTCCTGCCCTCTAAAATTGTAGAGAAGAGAGGAGCACAGAAAATTGATGCTATTTTTTTAAAAGATTTTTTGAAAACTAAATCACAACAAAGTTCCTCTGTGGGAATATGGTTAGTAAACCTGCACTCTGATTAGAATTATGTAACAATTTACAAAGCCCTTCTGTGTTACTAACACCAAGATGCTCAGCTGGATCATCATGGCACTGTGCCTAGGTGATGCAATTTCCCCCTTGAACTGGTGAGCTATCTGTAACTTTATTTTCTTCCCTTTCTTCCTTTATATGTTAAAAAAAAAAAAGAAAAGGGACTAAAATAAGATCAGCCAAGTCACTAAGAGTAGTACCTGAAGCCAACTCAGAGTCACCATCAGACACAGGAGCAAGTATGCTGGCCACAGATGGAGCCCGTTAATCAGCCTGTGGAACAAACATTAGGTTTTATCTGCAACTTTTGGACAGAGTATATGGGAGCCAGAATGTTATCACCAAGTGGCCATTTAGGGATGACATAGTTGGCAACTCAGAGGCCAAATGTTCCTGCCTGATGTGGCTACTCTCCAAGTAAATTCTATTTGTTCCATGATATAATCCACTTACTCTATTTACCGTCAACATATTTAATGGGCACTAATTTTGGATTCTTGCCTATGTCTCATAATCTGCTTGCCTACTCAACATCCATGTCTCTTAAGTGACTAGCCTTCTTCCTCTCTATACTTTAGCAAGGTTTATGAGTTCCATTCACCCTATTTACTTTTCTTGTCTTCTATAGCAGAGTTGAATATTCTCAACACAGCACACACCATCATAATGTTTTCAACAAATAAAGTCCATGGCACTGAAAAAGAAACGTTATAAAAATAGAGTTCTACATTACATAACAAGATCTAGTAGTAGCAGCAGGTCTTCTAACTACTGCAACTTCCAAGTAGTGATAAGCTTAACAATAAATACTGAGTTACCTCCCACACCTGTGAAGTGACATGAAAACATCTGGGATCATTGGCTGCCAAAGGTACTGTTCTCATACTCCTGGCGTTTGTATTCATGCATTTAAATTCACAATAAAGGCGATGCTAGATTTCAGTATTTGGTCCCGACGGTCTGCGGACTGCAGGTAGGACCCCGCCGAGGGCCAGCCCCGGTTGACCTCCCCTGGGCAGATCAACCAGATTCCTGATTCGGCCAGCGCCTTCCAAATCTGGCGCCCTCGGGGGACAGAGGACATGCTTGTTAAAAGGGAGTGAGGGTAGAATTAATTGGGAGAGCAAGGAAGCCTTCCAGGGAACAGAAAGGTTAAAGGGGTGGTGCCGAATTCTCCTAAAAGCTACAGAATCAGAGCAAGCTCAGACTCACGCAGCCGCAGGCATCGCGGAAACACCGCCCCCTGTCACCCGCCTCCAGCGCGCGCGCCGGAGGCCCCGCCCCTTAAACGCGTGCGCCGGAGGCGTTCCCGCCGCCAGGCAGCAACAATCTATCCGGGAGCTGCGGGTGGTCGACGCTACGTGCTGCGGCTGCTGAGGGGGCGGGCTGACGGACGACGCACGCACGCGAGGGGCGGTGAGGCGGTGGCAGCGTGTGTTCAGGTGGTGGCGTTGGCTTGCGGAGCTGCAGCGGGACTTGTGGGAGGATGGCGGAGTCCTCGGACAAGCTCTACCGGGTCGAGTACGCGAAGAGCGGGCGCGCCTCTTGCAAGAAATGCAGCGAGAGCATCCCCAAGGACTCGCTCCGGATGGCCATCATGGTGCAGGTGCGAGCGAGAGGGCCGCTTTGTGCGCGGCGGAGCTTCGAGTCCGGGAAGTGTGGGGGGAGGGCTCGCCTTGAGGAGCGGGTCGCCCACTCGGGGCCTGTGAGCACTGCTGCTCCGGACCTTCTGGAAGGCTTTACTGATCTTGAACGGAAAGCCTGGGAAATAGAGTTGGGAGCTGGGGCTGCTTTTTGCTTTGTAAAAATGAGGAACCGTTTCTGTTAACATTCGCCCCCGGGGGAGGGGGGCGCGGCGCGGAATGTGTGCGGGGTCTTTTGAGGCTCATCTGACTTTTTGCTTACTTTGTTCTAGAAGATCTTTTTGTTCTCCATTGATGGTGATGGCTGGCATGAAAGGTTTTTTTTTTAACCTATTTTTGGCTATTATTTCAACGCCCGCTTACTTTCATTTTTTTAATTATGCAGAACTGCACGTCAGTGTCATTTTTTGTACTGTGCATTCCCTTTTGGCCTGATTTGTGGTTTAAAATAACATTTCCCCCAAACTTTTCAGATTCATAGTCAAGTTCTCCTGATGTAATTTGCTGCTCTGGGGTTTAAGTAAGAGTGGCTTTGGGCGTTCCTCGCAGGGACTTGTTGACAAATTGGGGATCCCCCTTCTGGGTTCCCTTAGACTTCGGAGATGCCTGTGGCTGTTGGAGTGGTCTGTGGGGTGGTGTGTCTGAAGGACCCTGCCAAGGGGGTTCCTGCCTCCTCCAGCTTCCATTTTGCTTCTGTGTGCCCATGCAGTCTGGGTTCTCACCTGCCCTGTCTCCCCACCCCCGATGTAAATAAAGCCATCTGTTATCCAAGCTTGGTGCTCCTGGTTAGGGTAACTTGATTTTCCCTCCTTGCAGCAAGACACTAATGTGTTTTGGGAATGACCATTGAGCCCTTACTGGGTTTTCAATACTTCTGGGGTGGAGAGAAGTGGGTATAAGTACTTGGGTCATCCCATTCCTGACCCAGCAGGGACTGGGGCTGTTATCTGGGTATCCTCAGGGCTTACCTAGCTCAGTACCTGACATGGTCTTTACTCATTCAGTACATACCCGCTGAGCACCTAGGCCCTGTGTGGGCTCGTAAGGGGCACAAAGAGTGACTGCCTTTGGAAACTGCACTTGGGTTAAAAGGCAGATGACAGGTAAACACTGCTGGGGGGGGTGGCGGGTGGATGTCACCTGCTGGAGCTGTGCCTTAGGCATTGTGTGCCCAGGATAGGAGCTTGGTCAGGAGTCCTTGTTCACAAAGTGGCGGGAAGTTGAGGGTGGATTGGCAGATGTGCTACCCAAAGAGCCACATTCTCCCCCATCCCCATCTTGGAACCTTACCTGGAATATATGGGCAGGCTGATCTTACGAAGCTCTCTCCTCCAAGAACTCTGAACCTGGGGTCTGTGGGGTATGACTAGCAGGTCCCTGAGTGGAGATGAGAACTAAGTTCCAGATAGAAGTCATTTCTTTCAGTTATGAGCGTAAGCCCCAAAGGCATATTAGCAGTACTTGTGGTTTTTGTCACCATTGGTAATTACAGGTATTGTCATATCACCTTACATTTGTTGGGAATTTTTCTGCATATCATTTACACTCATCACTGCTTCAAGATTACTGTAGTTAGCTCATGGGTTACTATAGTCCAGTAAGCTTTTTAAGTGTTTTGTTAACTATGTCAGTATAGTTGGTTCCCTTTGTGAGCCTTTGTCTTTTGTCCTGCATTTTTAAATGTAATACAGAGAAGGGGTAGCTTGTAGGCCTCACAAGGCAGCCAAAGAGGATCCAGTTCTATTGAGGACAGACAGAAAACCTAAGTGTAGCCAGCGTGATGAGCAAGGACGTAGGATAAAGAGGAAGGGTAGGTGTGTCTGGGGGAGTGTGGGATGGCTCCACAGAGTAACCGGTTCCCAGATGGACTAAATTCTAACGTTCAGGACACTCTTTTGGCAGACTTGATGGTGAAGGAGATTCTTTATTATTGAAAGTAAGTTTGATTGCCTGTAATAGTAATTAGGGAGTGGAGCTTTAATTCAGAATATACAGTTGGTTTTCTAGACTGCACAGGTGAAGGCTGCAAAAAAGGAGCCATTCTTTCACTTGGATTTTAAAAACCTTCCTTTACATTTGTATGGGAGGATTGTTCTGGCTGTATCAAATCCCTGAAACTTAAGCTGATACGCCCCAGAGCAGCCTTGAGGGGATGAACTGGGCTGGGTTGTGGCAGCCCGCCTTTCCAGTCGTGAGGGTTGGGGCACGGGAGTCCTCAGAGAGGCTCTGATCTGCTCATCCCTTTTCGTGCCCTTTCTGCCTCGGGCAGGCAGTGGAGTGGCTGGGTGAGGACCATTGAATGAGGTGGGTGCTCAGTACACGAAGATTCTGCTGCTACCAGAGCCCTGTGTTTGCAGAGCGATAGCCATAGTCTTTTGACCTTGATCTAGTTCCCTTCCTGTCACAACCTTCTCGGTCCTAAGGTCCACGGTAAAGCCTTGCTTTGGTCAGAGGTTCTTCTTCTTGAGGAGGATGGGGCCGCAGTCACCCATGCATGGGAGCACAGCACCCAGACCGAGGTTGAGGGGCAGGTGTGAGGCCCCAAAGGAGCCGGGAAACTACAGCACAGTCATGAGTTGCAGAGTGGGGGCAAAGCCACTGAGCCGCGCACGTGTCCTCCTGTGCATGAGCATAACCAGAACCTGGCAGAGAAGGTACCAAGGCAGAAGAGCCAGGTGGAGGCCACTGCAGATGTCTTACAAGATGGCCTGATGCTTAAGGATGTGTCTGCTGCTTTGGTGAAAGTGTGAAGACCAGAACACAAGTCTGCTTTGGGATGTCATGTGTTGTCTGGTTTGGGGATCTGTTTTCCATAGCAGGGACCCCCCCCTTCTTTTCCCCTTTCTTCCCTCCAGACATAGGGCATTCTACAAACATCCTGAGTGTCTACCGTGAGCAGGCTTTGCCAGGTGCCAGCAAAACAGGCATTGTGCCTTTTAGGGAGCTTCTAATCCAGTGCAAGACAAGCATTGATTAAATAATCACCCAGATGGATCATTCTTAACTGGGAACTGTGGGAGGAGCCTTAGGGGACAGTGCTGCTTGCTCTGACTAGCACTGGGAGAGTTCTGGGCTGAGCAATGCTGCTGTAAACCAGACTGCCTGATGGGGAGGAGTCCTTGCAATGCCCGGCCTTGACCGGATTCCATTTTAGTCTTCTAAATCTATAAAGAGGCTGCTCACATAGTGGGCGCGGGCTAGGTTGGAGACCTTGTCGTTGCTTTTTTCACGCTATTTCCTGTCCCTACAACTCCGTCCTGAAAGTTCTGTGTGCTACTTTTAACAATGCTTTAATATTTTTGTTTCATGTGGGTAACATTTGGCTTTCTGTTACGTAAAAGCAGGTGTTCACGGCCTCCCTTGCTTCAGTCAGAACCATTTGTGTATTTTTAACTGTCAGTTCCCCCCCAAAAGCAGTCGTGGGTGCCAAGGACCGAGTAAATGCCACTGTTCATCCCACTTTGCCAGTCGCTGTCACCTCCACTCTGTAAAGCCTGGGAGTGCCTGGCACTGTGACAGTGAAAGGCCTGGTACTGTCAAGTCGGTACCAACCCAAATGCAAAACTTCAAAGGACAGAAAGGCTGCCATGAGAGGTAACTGCTTTGCCACGTGGCCCGACTCCCCAGGACCCGCAGCAGGAAGTGGCACTTCCTGAGGGCCTGGGGGCAGGCTGGTAGGCTGGCAATAGGCTCTAGAGCCCTGTCGTCTGCCCTAGCTGGCCTGCTTCCCTGACCCGATCCCTCCTTCCCTCCCTCCCTCCATCTCTCTCTCAGATTCATTCCATCCACATCTGTGTGCCTGCCACTTGTCTGACACAGTTTCTTGGCCTTGCTCATTATCTGGGACTAGCTCCTCACTATCTTAACTGCAGAGGCACTTCCAGGGCCCTTTCGGGGCTGCGCAGGCTCTGTGAGTCCGGGCCTGCCTCTCCCAGGCAGACACAGTGGAGTCAGGACACAGGACGGGCATCCCGTGTGCACGTGCTGTGCTTAGAGGTAAAGCCTGTCACTGAAATGTAGTGGCATGTGCTTAAACAGGAGCATAGGTAGAGTCCTGTTCAAAAATGCCACCGTTCCCAGGGGTGTCCCAGGTCCTGAGAGAGTGGGCTTTAGCAGGCAAGCAGCTTTCTTAGCTGTTAGGGAATACCGTGAAGAGAAACGTGGAGCCAGGGGGGCTGCTGTTTCTGTTCTGTTTGCAGCTTTTCCCTGGCCATGTAGGGACATGGGCAAGCTGCCCTTGTTTCACGGAGAAGAAAACAAGGGCTGTTTTGCTATTGTGGGCTGGGCTTGAGGCTGCATTGGAGATTAACTCAGTGTTCATTTACCTCCCTCTGATTCTCATCCTTCTAGTCACCCATGTTCGATGGCAAAGTGCCACACTGGTACCACTTCTCCTGCTTCTGGAAGGTCGGCCACACCATCTGGCAGCCTGATGTCGAGGTGGACGGGTTCTCTGAGCTCCGGTGGGATGACCAACAGAAAGTTAAAAAGACTGCAGAGGCCGGAGGAGTGACAGGTGCGTACACACCAGGGAGGCAGCAGGTGTTGCCGCCAGCCCAGAGCTTACAGGGAACCTTTTCCAAGAGAGCAAAGAAAAAGGTCTCCACCTCGCCCCTCCTTGGTTCACACATGTGCATACAGAGAAGAAGGGTCTGTGTTACTACATCTGCACCTCATCGATCCAGCTCCATCCTACTGCAGGATATTTTATTTTTCCAGAGGCCTGAAATGTGGCCTTTAAAGTTGTTGTTTTAACAGACTGGGGGTCTTTTTAGAGCAGGTTTGGGTTCACAGCAAGATTAAACAAAGTGAAGAGAATTCCCTTATACACCCTGCCCCTGCAGAAGCATGGCCTCCCCCGCCATCAGCATCCTTCAGCAGAGTGCGGCATTGGTCTTATTCCTGACCAGAAGAGAAGCAGTCAGCCCTGGATCCTATTTAAGTACTTTCTGCAGTGAAGGAGGGGGCTCCGGAGGAAGAGGAGAGAGGGGGAAAGGGAGACCTCCAGACACTGTGTTGTTTCAAAGAGCCTTTCTGAGAAAAGTTTTTATTTTATTGCCAGAAAAGAAGCTCTGTTAACCAACCACCAGGTTAGAAATGGTGTAGATAAGATGAGCCAACCGTGATCACCCAGCACGTATAGTGTCCTCGTAGAAGAACCCCAGGGAGCTAGAAGCGGGGGAGGGCAGGGACACCGGACCTGCACTGATGCTGTTGAGATGAGCATCATTGTGTCTGATCCTTCAGGCAAAGGCCAGGATGGAGTGGGGAGCAAGACGGAGAAGACGCTGGGCGACTTTGCAGTGGAGTACGCCAAGTCCAACAGGAGCACGTGCAAGGGCTGCATGGAGAAGATAGATAAGGTGAGCGCTGAGCACGGAGATCTGGCTCTGGGTTTCTCACATCGGATGCTACTGGGCATCTGAGAAGAAGAGAAAAATAGGTTTTATGTGCAAGCTCAACACTAGTGCTTGAAAGGGAAGATTTTAGTGGAGGCAGGAGGTGGCTGTGACTTTTTTCCAGGCAGGTCTGGCCCTAACTACTCATGGTCCAGGCCTCATGACTTTAAATTACATCCACTTTTAGGACACAGGGCTAGGGAGATGGGATTGGAAAGCGTTTACGTGGAGGTCTCTTCTGGGCTTGGCAGCGGCTGAGAGAAGGCTGTTGGTCTGTGTTTTACAGCAGGGTGAAATTTAAGGAGTGAGTTTCTTCCCTGGAGGAAGCCTCCCAGTTTCTTCTCCTTCACCAGAGGAGTGTCATTAACCACTCTTTCCTACCAGTTGTCATCCTGAAGGATGACAGCCAGCCGGGCGGAATGGGTGCTGTCCGAGTAGCAGGGGGACAAAGATGGCAGGACGGGCCTGTGCCCTCCAGCCTCGTCACTCTCCTCTGATCTTAGTCTGAGGTTCCTGCCTCCTTGGAGTATGCTACCAGAAATTGGGGGGAGGGGGCCAGTGGGATGTGGAAAGAAAAATCGTGACATTGCTGGCTCTTCAGCTGCCTTCAGCTGCTGCAAATGTGGGGCAAAGGTTTAGGTTCTCAGGGGAGAGTCAGAAGCTGTGAGCTGTTGTTGGCCGGAAGCAGAGTTTTGTGTAGCGTTGGCACCCCTCGTGCGGAGTTGTCTGGGCCTAGGGCTCACGGGCATGGAGCTCTCCTAGGAATGTCAGGCCTGGAACTGTGGGCCTGGGCAGGATGGCAGGACTTCGTCAGTGAAAGAGTGGGGGGTGGGGCAGAAAAATCCCAGCTGGGAGGAGGGGCCTCCTAGTGCTGTTCAAGGACGCAGCTCTGCCCCAGCCTACTGTATTATGTTCTTATGCCCGTTCCAGGTCAGCAGAACATCCTCAGAAATACGTTATGTTAACCAATGGTCCTCGGTGCCAATTCAACACCAGTAGGAATCCCAGTTTGGAATGCAGTGAAGAAGGAAACTTTATTCAGTGAAAATAGCACTGTAGTGCTGGGGGCATACATTCCATCTTCGGTGGTCTCCCAGCCAGAGGGGGCTTATAAATGGACAGGAATCCCTGCCCCTGTTCTATGATTGTTCCATCCTCATGCAAATGAAGACTCCAGATTCTCACAGTTTGGTCCAAAAGGCACTGTCCTGATTGTTCAGAATAGAGCCACTCTGATTGGCAGAGCTGTGCAGCTCTGATTGGACGAGGAAAGCCTCTTTTCTGTTGGTTGAAATAGAATTGCAGGAATTCTTTTAGAAGAGCTGACTCGGGCACTGGCTGGTGTAGCTTGGTGGATTAAGCACGGGCCTGCAAACCAGATGATTGCAGTTGAATTCCCAGTCAGGGCACATGCCTGGGTTGCAGGCCAGTTCCCAGCAGGGGACACACGAGAGGCAACCACACATTGACATTTCTTTCCCTCTCTCTTTCCCTTCGCCTCTAAAGAAAAATAAATAAAAATCTTGAAAAAAGAAGAAGAGCTGACTCGGGTGGCAGAAACAGTGCAGGCAGGCAGTTCAATGCAGGCTTATCTCTGAAGTGCCTGCATGAGGGCACGTGAGAGGCCCTTCCGTACAAAGAACTGCAAAACTCTGGGGTATTTGTTTATTTGTTTTGTTGTTGTTTTGATTTGAGTCCAGTTAGCCACCAGGAGCCCTTCTTAGTAGGTGTCTTCTTTCTCAGCGTTCCCAGTTAACTGCTCTTTTGACTTGTCCAGGCAGATAGGTAGGTAGCTAGTTGAATTTGAGCCATTTACAAGATGGGTGCTGGGACTTGAAGGTAACACACAGTTCCTGGTGGCATCAAAGAGCCAGAATCTCCCAGCAGTCCTTGCATTGCCCGTGGGGTAGACCTGAGGTCCCTCTCTGGACAGGTTGGCTTGGTCACCACTGGGCCTTCATGTGTCACCATCCTTTCTCACCTCGCTCCTACAGGGCCAGGTGCGCCTCTCCAAGAAGATGCTGGACCCTGAGAAGCCCCAGCTGGGCATGATCGATCGCTGGTACCACCCTCACTGCTTTGTTGAGAACAGAGAGGAGCTGAACTTCCGGCCCGAGTACAGTGCGAGCCAGCTCAAGGGCTTCGGCCTGCTTGCTCCCGAGGATAAGGAAGACCTGAAGAAGCAGCTCCCAGGAGTCAAGAGCGAAGGGTGGGTGGAGGGCTGTGTGGGTTGCAAGGGGAGTTCAGTGAGGGGCCTGATGGAGGCCCAGAGACCCTGCAGACTGCATACCACTCCTGTGTTTTCTCCTTCCTGACCTTGAGAAAGCCAGGGATGCAGATGGGGGGGGCCAGTGGAAGCTGAGCTCCCTGCCCTTTCCTAGCCGTGGTAGCAGAGACTGTGGGGTGCTCCTAGTGGTCTGACCCTGTGACCGCTGCACAACCCACCTCCCCATCCTCATGACCTCTTCCTGTGTGGGTGTGTTCCTTTGTGATTGGATGTTTCTGCGAAACACTGCTTGGGAAGATCAAGACAGTTTTTAAGTGGGGTGGGGGAGCAGTTGATAAGACAGTCCCTGGTTTAGAGTTTGGGCCGATACAGATCTCATATGGTTTAGGATGGGAAGCCCTACCAGTGACTTAGCTGGAGTCCAGGAGCACTTCTTACTCGTTGCAGTTTTTCTTCTGCTGGCCCAGACAAGCACACCAAGGGAGATGTGGCAGTGCCGTGATGTGCACCGTGTCCCTGGGACAGTTACTGCACCGTGTCAGGATCAGGGTGACCCTGATCCAAGCAGCTATCCTGCATTATTTGAGTTCATAGCACACGAGTTCATTGCACAACACTTGTGGCTCGGGCCTCTGGGGAAACCGGGCTGTGGATTAATGGTCCGGGTACTGCAGCACGTGATACAGCTGTAGGGAGCGTGAGTACACGTGTGTGCCAGAACAGCCACCAGAACTGGTGGGGCGCTTTCAACGTGCGGGGTGCTGTGTAGTTTTACTTTTTGGTGGGATGCTCCATTCAGTCGTCACCACAGTCCTGGAGGGTAGATGGTATTGTCTCTGTTTTCAAGGATAAGGAAAAAATGAGAACGTCTGGCTCAGGTTTGTGGAGCTTAGCTGAAGTGGAGTCTCGACTACTATGGCTCTCCTGCCCGGTTTTTTTTACCGGCTGCCGATGGCCCTCAGTGCTCTCCTTGAGGTACGGAAGACACTGCTGAACTTGGTCGGCCAGGTTTGCTGACCCAGCTGAGGCAGACTGGTCCGCAGTGCCTACACTGTCACTCATTTGGGCTTTTAATGGCAGTGCAGTCTCACCTCAGAACAGCCTCTTGGCCTTCGGAGCAGCCCTGTGTTTTAGCTTGAAAGACTGGCCCCTGACCCTCTGCTTTGCCTTTCTGCCCCTTAGCTGCAGGCTTTCTTTCTACCAGGAACCTTCCAGGCTGTCTCGTTAATGGCAGGAGGTACACGGGGTTTTTGGCATCAGGTGGAGCCCGAGCCTTGCATCCTGTGCCACGTTGTTCCAAGGCCCTGGAGCAGCGCCAGGCCCCTCCTTGGCAGCAGAGTGTGTTCTGAAGGGGGTGGAGTCAGTGCGGACGCTGCCTGAGCAGACAGCAAGCAGGGCCTGCAGAGGAGTTGAGATGAGATACTGTGGCACCCAAGCCCCTGTATTTCAGAGTTTTCTGAAACTCTGGTTCTTTATATCCTGTATCTCTTTCAGAAAGAGGAAAGGCGATGAGGTAGATGGAATAGACCGAGTGCCCAAGAAGAAATCTAAAAAAGAGAAAGACAAGGATAGTAAGCTTGAAAAGGCCCTCAAGGTGAGTTCTGAGCCATGTGTGTCCTTCTGCCATCTGTCTCGGTTCTCTTCCCTCATTCTGGGAAGAAAGGTCAAGAAGGTGTCCATGTCCCACTTGCCCAGACCTTTAAGAATTCCCAAATTTATAGCTTTTGTTTAAAAGCATGGCTTTTTCCCCGGGTGGTGTTCTTCCCTCTTTCCAAAGAAACAGTTCTTATTTGAAGGAGAACCCACATTAGACTCCTGGTGCCACGCCGGCAGCCAGGCTCAGGCAGGAGCCGAGAGGTCGGTCCCCACCCACCAGGTTCCCGCTGAGGTGGCAGGTTCCTGCTGCTAACACACAGCGCATCACCGTGCACCTGGACCTGCAGGGTCACTTGCAAACATGGGAAACTATTAAATTTAAGGATGCCAAAGGTTCTTAGCATAGACAAATGTCTTGAAGAGACAGTTTTGTATTTTTTACATGAAGGTCTCTAGCTTTTAAAAAAAGGGGGTTGAAGGCAATATAGTGAAGAAGGGAAAACTACCCCTTAGTAGTCACTGACCAGAGATTCATCACTCTCATTACACATGCGTCGAAGTACAAATTATTAATCAGAAAAGGCTAGGTGTTTGGGAAGCTGGGAGAGAACGTTTACTTCCTTTTGGGAACTTGACTTCTGTGCGCCATCTGCTTGGTGCTCTCATGTGAGCATTCAGTTTCTCCCAGCGGCATAAAAATTCGAGGCAGTTTCTGGTGGTTCAGGTTTTTTGATAAGAATGATAAATTTGGTGTGGTTGCCCTTTATAAAAAACAAGTCTGTTATGGTCCAAATCTGGCTGCCATAGAGCTGGGGCGCTGTTTTGAACTGAGGAGATAGGTGCTTGGGCATCCCCCCTACGTGCTCTCGGATTGGTGGAGAGCAGCCATGCCCACCTCCCTTAGGTCCCAGATGTCAGCCAATAACCTGTGAGTGCTTCCAAGCTCTTTCCGGTGTCCCCTGGAATTTTTTTCCTGTGGGGTTGGTTCCTGGGACCCTTGTTTCTAGACTGCAGCCCTCCGCACATCCCTCAGTGGTCTCCTCCCCACCTTCCACAGTGTCCCCTGAGAGACCTCACTCTGGGTCTGCTCTGGCGTCCCCAGGGACGGGGCCGGGAGCTCACCTCCCTGTTGAGGAGGCCGGCCCTGGAGGGCAGCTCAGCAAGGCGTGTAGTGGGAGACAGGCAAGAGCGCTGGGGTCTCCTCCTGTCGTTGGGTTTCTTCCTTTGAAAAAGACCTGGTTTCTCAGCAGCTGGGTCTCTTGCCCATAGGCCCAGAATGACCTGATCTGGAACATCAAGGACGAGCTAAAGAAAGTGTGCTCAACGAACGACCTGAAAGAAATGCTCATCTTCAACAAGCAGCAAGTGCCCTCCGGGGAGTCGGCGGTGAGCTGCCTTTGTGTTAAGTGAGACGCGTGGGAGGCCCTCCGATCGAACACCTGCTGGTATTAATTGGGAGGAGTGACAACTCCGTAGTTGTGTTGCATGGTCATTGCCATCATGGTCACCATTTCCCAGTGGCACGAAGGGGCAGCTCTCCAGGCCCTTCCAGACATCTTCCACAAGGTAGCCCTTTGTTTAAAATGTTGGTGAGGGCTGAGGTAGGCCTTACATTTGCCATGTGTATTCATGCCACGCTGGCGCGAGGAGCCCTCTGTCTGCCGCCCTCTGCCCAAACTGCCCAAGGCCGTGAGGTTTGGGGGAGAGGGGGCTCGAGACTGCCTAGGGAGACCGGTTTCCCCAGCAGGCCCTGTCCTTTCTATCTGGGGGAGGGGTTAGCTCTTCTCCTTGTGCAGAAGCAGTGGGTGCTCTCTCAGTCTGTGAGGGAAGTGGAAACTCCAGGAACATGCATGGAATTAGAGTACAAAAATCAAAGCGCCCCCTGTAAACCCCCTGGCCAGGGGGTGTCAGTGAGTCTCAGGCAAGCCCTCTCTCCTTCATCAGTGAGTGGGGCCTGGGCAGAGCCTTCATCCCACATCGCTAGCGTCATCTCCTGTAGCTGCTCCTTTTCTTTCTGACGTGTCTCTTCACTGGCCTCAGATCTTGGACCGGGTAGCTGATGGCATGGTGTTCGGTGCTCTCCTTCCCTGCGAGGAGTGCTCAGGCCAGCTAGTCTTCAAGAGCGATGCTTATTACTGTACTGGGGATGTCACTGCCTGGACCAAGTGCATGGTTAAGACACAGACACCCAACCGGAAGGAGTGGGTGACCCCGAAGGTAAGTGGGGAGGACCATGGGATCTGTTGGCAGAAAAACATGACCCCCACCCTCCGGGTTGCTGTGATTGCAGGGCAGTGTTCCTGATACTTCTCATCTCATCCATGCTCAGTCAGAGTATGAAGTCAGGTTATTGGTTCTGTGTGTCTAAGAACCGCACACTTCCCTGGCTGCGGTGGCTCAGAAATCCCCGGGGTGGGGGGGATGAGCTGTGCTCACGGCATAATTTGTATTGCATACTGATTGTTCTTGACCTCTGCAGCTGTGTTTCCAAGTAAGAAGGGTAGGATTTCCATCTGAGTGATGATCTATTGCCCAGTCTGTGCAGTCCTGGGGGGCTTTTGGTAATGGGGTGGGCGTGTGAGGGAAACAACTCTAGAATGAGCCCTGGGGGTGGTAGCCGGGTTTCAGCAGTGGTCCACAGGCTGTAAACTGATTTTTCTTTAAGAAATATGTTTTGTTTTTTTTAAAGCATCCACAGTACCAGCTCTACCATAAATGCAGAAGTATTGGGAATAAGTACTGTGTCTGTAATAATACTGTATGGCTCATATTTTCTTATGTTATTCTTTACTATGAAAAGGAAAAACAAATTCTTTAATTTGGACAAGAAAAATCCTCTTTGGTCTATCAAGTAATTACTTCAAGGGAGAACTGGTTTCTTAACTGAAACTTAAATTCTTTAGGAATTCCAAGAAATCTCATACCTCAAGAAATTGAAGGTCAAAAAGCAGGACCGTATATTCCCACCGGAGACCGGTGCTCCAGTGGTGGCGGCACCACCACCTTCTGCAGCCTCAGCACCCGCTACTGTGAACTCCTCTGCCCCACCAGGTAGAGCCGCAGGGGCACCAGGGGTGGGGGTGAGCTGGGGTCCTGCTCCTTGGGGAAACAGGACGTCTTTCTGGGTTCGCTGCTGCTGATCCCGTGCGGAAGCCCTGTCCCGCTACCCCAGCAGGAGATAGAAGGTTGGGAGGGAGGCTGCTAAGAGACTCCAGGGAGGTGGCCTCACCTGGAGTGGCAGTGTGCCCAGCCTCACTGCACTACAGAGCGTCTTCCTGGGTCTCGCTTGCCTGCCTTGGGACAGCCCTGCGCCCATCAGTCATCCTGAGCCTGATGTGATGCTGGGGTCTCTTGCATAGAGAGCTGCTGTGTATCTTGCCAGTAGAGGAAGTTACTGATCCATTGTTGCTCTCCATACCAACAAAGAGACCAGTTTGGGTTTTTGTCAGGAAAAGAGACCCACTGCCCTTTTTACTCAGGGACAGGTGGAGGACTTGCAGGACTTTTCTCAGTGGTATCTCTTGTTTTCGGAATGTGGCACCGGCACTGCATCCCATCAGCCATAACTACCGCGCACCCCTGTCCTGGGGCTTTCTGGCCTGGGTGTGCTGCTGGACACATGGAATGCTAGGGTTTTCTCTTTGCCTGGAATGGGTCATCTCAGGTCATTGTGATCAGAGCTTTCAGTGACTGTCAGGTATAATTTTGTTTACTAAGCATTGCATAAGAAATTGCACTTGGTCTTTAGGTGAGGAATGGGAGGAGAAGAAGAATAATAAAAGTAATTGGGAGTTAACTTGACCTGCCTCTGCTTCCCATCCACTGCCAGCCTCCTGATCCCCGATCCCCAAATACAGCCTTTCTGTACCCACGGACGAGTGCAGGTTCTCAGGCGAAGCTTTGCTACCCTGGTCTCCGCTTCCCCACTGTCCCTTTTCTTCCATTTTCATAGACTTCCCTCTGGAGAAGCTAACGAGAGAGGGGTGCTGAGGCTGACCAGGGGCCCTGCAGGCGGTCTGCGCTTTCCCCCCGGGAGCTTGCTGCCTGGTTTCCGGCTCCCACGGCCCCTGCCCACCAGCCTTCCTGGGAGCAGCCCCACTTCACAGTTCTGTTCCCCTGTCCCAGGCAAGCCGTTGTCCAACATGAAGATCCTGACGCTTGGCAAACTCTCTCGGAACAAGGAAGAAGTGAAGGCCATGGTTGAGAAACTCGGGGGAAAGTTGACAGGGACCGCCAACAAGGCCTCCCTGTGCATTAGCACCAAAAGTGAGTTTCGTCTTCCTGCCAAACCCAAGATAACGCCCTCTGCCTCAGGCAGCTGTGATGAGCGTTAGCTGAGGTGGAATGCTTACTTACCACGGTGTCTCCCAGCAGCGCCGTTGCTCTGGGTCTGGGGGGCGGCCAGCGTGTCCACCTTGTGCTGCCGCTCAGAGTGCAGGTTCCTGTTCTCATCCCTGGCTTTCTGCCACAAGGCGTTGGTAGGTTTGCTGCCAACACAAAAGTTCCAATTTAAGTATATTTGGGGAGTGCAGTTAAACAAAGGTAGGTAGGTTTCTCTGCACCGTTATTATACTAGCAATCATCATAATAAATCTCTAAGACCAGAGAAATAACGTACAGCAATTTCCAAATGCATTTGATCTCAGCATCCTTCTGTGGAATGGTTATTGACATCTCGTTCTGTGGAGTGGTCTGGAGGAGGTGGCATTAACCACACCTCAGAGAAGGGGGAATGCGGCTGGTGAGACAGCTGCGAAAACCCCGTAAGAGCCCTGGATGTGGGAGGAGAGGAGAGATGTGGGTGGTGAGGGTTCGGAAGTCGTCAGCAAATAAGACTGGTAATCTGAGGTGAGCTTTAAACTTATTTGTTTAGCTTTTCTCTTTTTTCTTCCTCATTTGAACAGAGGAAGTAGAAAAGATGAATAAAAAGATGGAGGAAGTAAAAGAAGGCAATATTCGAGTTGTGTCTGAGGATTTCCTCCAGGACATCGCCGCCTCAACCAAGAGCCTTCAAGAGTTGGTCTCAGCCCATGTCTTGTCCCCCTGGGGTGCCGAGGTGAAGGCGGAGCCTGTTGCAGTCGTGGCTCCAAGCGGGAAGTCGGGGGCAGCAGTCTCTAAAAAGAGCAAGGGCCCCGTCAAGGAGGAAGGTGAGGCCCTGAGCTGCCGTCCCTAGGGCCCCGTTTTGTCACGGGTCACAGCCTGTGTAATGTCTGGATGGGGAGAGGCACGCAGCTGCCGTGTTGGTGCACAATGAGTGAAAATGACCCACTTGCCTTGCCTTCCAGCTTCCCCTTTAAAATTGATTTTTAATGTAATGTTCACATTTCTCTGTCCCCTTCCAAGGAATCAACAAGTCTGAAAAGACAATGAAATTAACTCTTAAAGGAGGAGCTGCTGTTGATCCTGATTCTGGTAAGCACATGGGAGTGATGCGAGTGGAGTGGGGCCTCCCTCTGCTGTCGCGCCTCCTTAGGGTCCTCCCCCCACCCCCACCCTGCCCTGAGAACACACACACACATACATACATACATACACACACACACACACACACACACATACATATCTCCTGGGAAACCTGAAGGTGGTGGTAGAGTACCCAGGCCCATGGACCCTCTGCATGCAGACCCCTTCCCCTGAGCACGCCTGCCCCCCTGTCCGGAGTAAGCTGTAGGAGCCGTGCCTCCCGACAGGTCTGGAGCACTCTGCGCACGTCCTGGAGAAAGGCGGGAAGGTCTTCAGTGCCACCCTCGGCCTGGTGGACATTGCGAAAGGAACCAATTCCTATTACAAGCTGCAGCTCCTGGAGGACGACAAAGGCAGCAGGTGTGTTCCGGGGGCGGGAGTGTGTGGCGGCGGCGGTGCTCCGTGATGGCATGGGTCTGTTTTGCTGGGCTCTCGGCCTTACAAAAACCACGGTTTTCTCAGTACCTGGGAGAACTTGGTCTCCTCACAAAGAAGATGGTGAATAATGAGGCTTTTAGTGAGCAAGGGACGAGCCATCGCCGCCAGATGACCTTGCTCTTGTGTCCCGTTGGGCCGTCTTCTCGGGAGATTTGGTGTCACAGTCTCCCCACTCTTTCCTCGCAGCTGCTTGAAGATTCTAGTTTTTCTGATACTTTTCCACGTGCTCTTAAACCTCGGAGTAAAGTTTGGCAAGGACTGGACTTACCCTTTAATGATACTTCAGACTCTAAAGATGTTTTGGGTTTGCTGCTTTTGTTTTTGTTACTGATCTTTTACCCTGGTTCTGGGGCGTTGGGGGCTGGGCTGGCCTGTGGCGTCCACACCTCCACTGGCCGGGCATCCCTTTTGCAGCCAACGTGAAATGGGAGCTGTGTGTAGGTCGGAAGGTTGTGAAAGGAACTCTTGCTGAATTCTAATGGTGAAAAGACATTTTAAAAAATCACTTTCCTATGTTAAACTTGACCTTTGCTTCTTAGCACTGGAAAACCATTTACTTACTAGAACTCCAGGAGATCCAAAAAGGTTCACCAGTGGAAAGGCAAACCCCTGTGGCAGTGGTAGCCTGAGGGGTGACAGGTCAGCCCCTGGTCAGCCTCGGGTTGTAACTGTCGAGGCTGAAGTCCTTCCCATCCCCTCAGCTTTTCGTCAGACCTCTCCTTTTAAGAGTGAGCATCCGAGGTGACCACAGAGAGTACAGGGTGTTTGGTTGGCTACTAGGAACTACCAAAGAAATAACCATTACCCGTCGTTTAGTTTATTACCTACTTTTGTCAGAGATTTGAAAGTCAGAAATGGTTTCTTATGAAATGTATCTTCCAAAAGCGAGATACATGTTGTCCTGCAGGAGAAGGAGTAGGGTGTTTGTAGAAACATACAGAGTGTCATGGTCTGTTAAGTGACAGGCAGCGAGACTGCACTTTTCCCCCACTAGCAAGAAATTCCAGTGGTGACTGGCTGGGTACATTTTCCTGGTGGCCTGGATTTGCTGGTCTTTAGAATGAAAGAACAGTGTGGGCTGTTATGGTCAGAAGCTGTTTTTCAGCATGGGTCGGTGTGGTGTTTTACAGACATTTCCAGGGAAACAACCCAACAGAGTAAGTCCATATGCCTTTGAGCCAGGTGCCCAAGAAAACAGTAAGAAACCCCAGATTTTCTCTGAACTCTGGTTTTACCTTAAAAATGCATAAAGTCTTGTATTTGGGTTTCTAATATTACACTTGTGGGGATGTAAAATTTCACTTAGTAGTTCCACTAAGAAAAATTAATGTAGCCAAAGCTAGGCAGCCCAGGCGCCAGAGGCCACCCATGAAGTGTGCCCCGTGGAGATGGCGACACAGCGATAGCCCGGGTTCCAAGGTGGCCCACGCGGTGTGCCGCTGTCCCACCCCTTCCTGTGGCATCACGGCTCAGCTTCTGACCAGAGCCAAAAGTTCTTCGTTGTTTGTTAGGGTATGTTGTTAATGGTTGCATCTCTTTAAATGTGACTTCCAAATACTTGGCTTTGGGGAGTGGGATTGGGTGTTTTTATGGAAAGGTCTGTAAGCCCCCAGGGCTTGGTCCACAAGCTTGGCTCCCAGGTCCAAACTTAAGCTATTCTTGGGCACTTTATACAGTCCATTTGAAACAACATTCTTTTAATACTTTAAACTTACAACCCTTAATTCAGTAAAAGTAAAATGAAGGTCTTTTATTTTAACGTCAGTTCCTTCATTCCTCTCTGTGAGTTGCCATCGTTTTGGGGTGTTTGCCACCTTTCTCACCCAAGTGGAACGGCAGGGAAGGGGGGCTCCTCCCGAAATACGACCAGCTAACCCACCAGCGCGCGCCTGACACTCCTCCTCTCCCTGCCCTGCCCCGTCCTAGGTACTGGATATTCAGGTCCTGGGGCCGCGTGGGCACGATGATCGGCAGCAACAAACTGGAGCAGATGCCGTCCAAGGAGGATGCGGTCGAGCACTTTACAAAATTATATGAAGAAAAAACCGGGAATGCCTGGCACTCCGAAAACTTCACAAAATATCCCAAAAAGTTCTACCCCCTAGAGATCGACTATGGCCAGGTAATCACTTAATGCTCCTACATCATCTAGTTTTAGTAAAAGGGGTACCATATTCTTTTTTTTTCTTTTTTTTTTGATTATGCCATTACAGTTGTTCTGTTCCCCCCTTCCTTCCCCTCCACCCTACCCCCATCCCCACCATTACCCCCCCTTTAGTTTATGACCACGTGTCTCAAGTTCTTTAGATTCTATATTTCCCATACTATTCTTGCCCCCCCATCTATTTTCTATCTACTACTACTGTCTATGCTACTTATTTTCTGTACCTTCTCTCCCCTTCTCCTCCTCCCACTCCCCTATTGCTAACCCTCCTTGAGATCTTCATTTCTATGTTTTTGCTCCTGATCTAGCTGTCCTTTTAGTTTGCTTTTGTTTTAGGTGTGGTTGTTAATAACTGAGTTTGCTGTCCTTTCACTGTTCATTTTTTTTAACTTCTTTTTCTTAGGTAAGTCCCTTTAACATTTCATATAGTAAGGGCTTGGTGATGATGAACTCATTGAATTTGATCTTATCTGAGAAGCACTTTATCTGTCCTTCCATTCTAAATGAAAGTTTTTCTGGATAGAGCAATCTTGGATGTAGGTCTTTGGATTTCATGACTTGGAATACCTCTTTCCAGCCCCTTCTTGCCTGTAAGGTCTCTTTTGAGAAATCCGCTGACAGTCTGATGGGAACTCCTTTGTAGGTGACTGTCCCCTTAGCTCTTGCTGCTTCTAGGATTCTCTCCTTCATTTTAATCTTGGCTAATGTAATGATGATGTGCCTTGGTGTGTTTCTTCTTGGGTCCAACTTCTTTGGGACTCTGAGCTTCCTGGATTTCCTGGAAGTCTATTTCCTTTGCCAGATTGGGGAAGTTCTCCTTTATTATTTGTTCAAATAAGTTTTCCACTGGTGGCTGTGCCTTTCCCCCTTCTGGTACCCCTGTAATTCGGATGTTGGAATGTTTAAAGATGTCCTGGAGGTTCCTAAGAGTCTCCTCATTTTTTTTGAATTCTTGCTTCTTGACTCTTCTCTGTTTGGCCATTATTTGCTTTCTTCTGGTCCACTCCATTGATTTGAGTCCCAGTTTCCTTTTCATTGCTATTGGTGTCCTGTGCAATTCCATTCATTTCAATTAGTTTTGCCTTCATATATTTGTCTAATTTGTGGGTATAATCAACTAGTTCTGTGAGGATCCTGATGACCAGTGTTTTAAACTGTGCGTCTGAGAGTTTTGCTATTTCTTCATTGCTTAGATTTATAGGCTCTGGGGCTTTGAGATCTTCTTGAGCCATTTTTTGTCTGTTCTCTCCCGTTAAGTATGAGTAGCGGCGCCTTGGACTCCTAGGTCGCTGGGTTGTGACGCTGTATGTGGAGGAGGGGTCAGAGCAGGGAAATGGCGGCGCCCTGTGCTGCCTGCTCTGCCGGCTCTGCCTGCTTAGTCCCGTAGTCTCACCTCCCACTCCCTTGCTTGTCTATCTGCGCAGGAAAGCGCGACCACAGTCAGCCCGAAGCCCTGCTCCCTCGCTGTTTCCCCGCGGTCGCTTGCTGAGTCGTTTACTAGGTCCAACTCTGCGCCTGGGTTCCGCGCGCCTGAGTCCGTCCGACTGAGTTTTCCTGTGCAACCCCGCTCCATCAGCTGCTGGTTTCACCCCTCTTACCAGTCAGGCTGTACAATTTGTTGTTAACAGACTTCTGAAAAGTTCAATTTTCTGTGCTCTGGCTGTGTTTTCTGTTGCTAATGTTTAGTTGTCTCTAAACTTGGTTGTGAGAGAAGGCACAGCGTTTCCACCTATGCCTCCATCTTAGCGGAAGTCCTAAATATAATCTCAGCTATAATCATACAACTGGCGAGGAAGAGACATCAGCTCAGTCACTGCGCAGAGTGGACGACCGGAACTCCTGGGGTACCATATTCTTTTCAAAACATGCCATAGATCAAATGGCATCACTGGTGAAAGCTACCAAATATTTAGAGAATTAATACAAGTCCTTCACAAACTCTTCAAAAAGAACAGAAGAGTCAGAGACACTCCCAACTCATTATATGAGGCCAGACTCTCCCCAATACCAGAACGGATGAAGACATCACCGGAAGGCCTTAACCTGTTTGACTCAGTTGTAAGTGTAGCCCTGTAGACTGAAAGGGTCATGAGTTCAATTCCCAGTCAGGGCACATACCCAGGTTGTGGGTTCAGGCCCTGGTTGGAGCGTCTGTGAGAAGGCATCTCTCTCTCTCTTCCCCTCTCCTCCTCCTCCTCCTCTTCCCTCCCTCGCCGCTCCCTTCCCTTCTTTTTCTCTCCCCCTTCCTTTCTAAAAGCAATGAAAAATTGTCCTTGGGTTAGGATTTTTAAAAAACTAAAGACCAATAACCCTTCGAATATAGATGCAAAACCCTCAACAAAATACTAACAAACTGAACATAGCAGCACATAAAGGTTATACACCGTGACTGCACGGAATTTATCCCAGGAGCGCAAGGGTAGTTCCACATACGAAAATCAGTCCGTGTAATGGAACATGAATATTTATTCAAGGACAAAAGCCACATGATCACCCTAATAGGCAAGAAACAGCGTTTCATAAAATCCAGTACCCTTCCTTCGTTAATAAGATCCCCGCCGTGAAGGATAAGGTGGAAACTTGGTGCGTTAGCAGCTTTAAGACCCTCAAAGAGGAAGTCCTTGAAGTTTTCCTTAAACACAACAGGGAGCGATTGAGATTCCAAGTAAGGGTTTTTGTTGTTGTTTTTTTTTAGCTAAACCGGTGTTCCTCCTAGATCATGTGACCAGGTTTATCATCAAAATACAATCCTAGTGACACTCTGCTAGGTCTGTTTTCTTGCTTGATTTTATTGTGATACAATTGGTATATGACATTAGTTTCAGCTGTACAGTGTCATAGTTCCTATTTGTATGTATTGCAGTGATCAGCACATTAAGTCTAGTTAACATCCATCACCTGACACGTAGTTAGAAAAAAGTTTTTTCTTGGGTGAGAATTTTTAAGATCCACTCTCAACAGTTTCAGGTTTACAGTACTGTGTTATCAACTGCAGTCACCATGATGTACATTACTCTTCATGCCTTATTTATTCTATAACTAGAAGCTTCCACCTTTTGAACTGCTTCATCCAGTTTGCCCATCCCACCCCCCACTCCCTGACTTTGGCAGCTGCCAGTCTCTTCTCTGTGTCTGTTGGCTTGTTCCAGGGTTTGCGTTTTTTTCCCTTGGTACTTACTTTGTTTCTTATTTGGGTTTGTGTTTTGTTCTGTTTTGTTTTTAGATTCCACGTATAAGTGAGATTGTATACTGTTAGTGTTTCCCTGAGTTGTTTCACTTAGCATCATACTCTTAATGTTGAAAATGGCAAGACTTTTTTATGGCTGAATAATACTCCATTGTGTATATAAACCATAGGGTCACGGTTTATCCATTCATCTGTCAGTGGACACTTAGGTTGTCTCCATGTAAAGAATGCTTCAGTGAACATGGGGGGGGGGTGTGTATATTTGTGTGTACGTATCTCTTTGAGTTAGTGCTTTTATTTTCTTCAGATAAATGCCCAGAAGTAGAGTTGCTGGGTCCTAAGATAGTTTTACTTTTTTAGTTTTCTGAGGAACCTTCATGCCGTGTACTGCAGTGGCCGCCCCAGTCTCATCTCCATCCCCAGCACCCTGGGCTTCCCTTTGCCCTACATCCTTGCCCACAGACAGGTGTGAGGTGGTGCCTCACTGTGGTTTTGATCTGCGTTTCCCTGGTGATGAGTCTTGCTGAGCATCTTTTCATGTAACTGTTGGCTGTCTGTGTGTCTTTGGAAAAATGACTAATCAGGTCTTCTGCACATTGTTTAGTTAGATTGTTTAATTTAGGTGTTTGTTTTTGCTGTTTAGTTGTATGAATTCTTTAAATATTTTGGGTATTAGCTCCTTATCGGATATATATTTGCCAGTATTTTCATCCATTTGCTATATTGCCTTTCTTTGTGTTGTTTTGCTTTGGGGTAGGGTTTTAGTCCCAAACTATTTCCTTAATTCTTAAATTGTATTAATTGTGAAGTCATTTTCAGACAGCATTTTAGTTTTGATTGATCTTTTTATTTATTTATTTATTTATTCATATTTTTCCTTAACTTATCTCTTATCACTTTACCCCTCCTTTGTTTTTTTTAAGACTTTTATTTTTATAGTAGAGACAGGGAAGGGAAGAAGAAAGAGGGAGAGAAACACTAATATGAGAGAGAAGCATAAATTGGTTGCCTCTTAAATATGTACCAACCAGGAACTGAACCTGCAACCCAGGCATGTGCCCTGACTGGGGTTTGAGCTGGCACCCTTTTACTGTACAGGACAGTGCTCAACCAACTGAGCTACACCAGTCAGGGCAGAAAACCTATTTATTTTATAATGGGGGTGGTATGTGTTTGTTTTGCAGAAGGAAAGAAACTTGTCAATAGGTACAGATTTTAACTCCAGATCTTTGAGGGCTAGAATGTCTCCATGGGAGAATTCCCTGGTTTACAGTTTCATGAGCTCTTACCACTAAACACAGAATGTAATACTTGTATAATGTTGCCATTGAGACCTTGGACTTTAGGGTGCGACAGACATGGTGTGGCTCAACAGCACCCCCTACTGAGTTCCCATTTCAAAAAAGCTTTAAATTTTTTTAAGAAAAGCAGGGTCAAAAAATAAAAATTGCCCAGAATTAACCACAATTAAGAAGATTCGGTATCTGTCTTTTCAGTCATCTTTTACTTCACAGGTACTTCCTATACCATAAAATTGGAGTTTTTTCTTACATACTGTGTTGTGACCACTTACACAGTTTCAAATATTTTAGTAGCTACATTTTAAAAAGCCAAGGAAGCAGTGAGGTCAATACTAATAATTTCTTTAACCCAGTATATCAAAAACGCTATTTCAACATGTGAGTGATAAAAACAAAATTTTTTTTTTCTTCAAAATCTAGTGGAGTTTTAACCCTTATAGTATATCTCAGTTTAGACTGGCCATATTTCAAAACAGGTGGCTACTGTAATTAATTGATCTAGAGACTCATTTCTTAAGGCTGTAGAGAATTCCGTCCTGTGGGTAGTCATAATTCATAATTTACCAAACAACACTACATGGATGCCCTTCAATTAGGCATTTAGATTAGCTGCAGGTACTTGATACAAGAATACTGATATACACATAAATATGGTACTTCTATGGTGATTTCCATTAAAGGTGGAGTTCTGGCTCGCAGAGTATGCGTGTAAATAAGTTTGACACGTTAGTAGCTTGTCCTTGGTGGCACGTAAGTAGTGTGACACATTAGGACACCCAGAGATTGGTGCATTTAAGGCTCAGCGTCCGGGGTTCAGGTCCCCTGTGACACCGGTGGCAGCAGCCCTGAGCCCTGATGCAGCCCAGGCTTCTTTCTGCGGTTTGGCCCGGCCAAGCAGATCCCAGGATCAAAGCCCAGCGCCAGTTACCTTCCCTGGAAGCAAACACCAAACACTGTTAGTTGCTAAGGACACTGATGGACAGCGAAGTCCCTGTCCTCACATGGTTCAAAAGTGAGAGGAATTAAGGCATGTTCAATACAGCACTGTCTTAACTTAGCCTAGATTGTCCAGACAGTGGGGGTCAAGTCTCATGCTATTACTATTAGGATGTGCAGTCCCAGGGAGGAGGGTGTGGGGTGGGGAGCAAGGTGGCAAGGAGGAAAGGCTAATGTAGGATGCACATTAACACTGTCAAGCCACCTGGCAGGAACTGGGACTGGTTGCTTGATCCTTCGGGACTGTAGGAAAGGCTCTATGAACTTAGCCGCCCCTGGGATGAGGCTGTGCAAGAGAAGTCGGGGAGGATTTGTCCAGTGTCCCCTTGATCCAAGGTCTGCCCCCATAGCTGCCCAGCACTTCAAGTTGGGCACGTGTGGGCACTGGGCAAATCCCCATGCAGGGCACCAGCAACGTGAGGGTGGGGGAGTGTGAGGACCTTCAGAGCAGCTTGTGCAGGGCTGGGCGCTGCAGCGACAGCTGAAATAAGAATCTGGAACAGCAAAGAGGACTGCGGGGTGCACCGGAAGTGTCTGGTCCCTCTGTAAACCCACATTCCTCCTGGCATCTACTGCCCAGACCCTGTTGATTGACAAGTAACCCTTTTGCTAGTGACACTCCATCTGCAGTCCAAACGCTGCCACCACCTTGGATTGCTTAATTGGGCCTCTTACTGATTTTCCTATCCTTCAAAACGTACCTTTTTCCCCAAAGGATGAAGAGGCAGTGAAGAAGCTGACGGTAAACCCTGGCACTAAGTCCAAGCTCCCCAAGCCAGTGCAGAACCTCATTAAGATGATCTTTGATGTGGAAAGTATGAAGAAAGCCATGGTGGAATATGAGGTCAGTGCCTTTTATTGTTTTATCTGTGAACATCTGTTGGGGTCCACGATTAGAGTGCTGAGTGGGTAACGAGCTCAGTGCCTGTTCTCGTATTCGGCCACTCTACCTGCCCTCAGACCCGAGACACATGCAGGTTGCTGAGGCTCGGAGCATTTGGGAAGCATCGTTGGGCTTGAAGTGAAATGCAGGGCATGTTGGAGAGAGCCGTCCCCTGGGTTCCCGGTCCCCCTTGCACTTTTCTCCCCTTGTTACCACGGTAGGGTCTGTAGCCAGCTTCTTTTCGGCCACACCAGACAGGCCCTCTGGAGTTATGCCGGCAAGTCTAGGACGCAGCCCACTTCCAGTAAAAGAACTGCTATGACCACCACTGACAGGAATGCAGGGGACTTCGGATGCTTGCTTCATCAGATAAAGTTCACACCAGCTGTTCTTAGGAAGGAGTAGTTCCCAGGCTGGGTGGAATGGGGTTTTTGGTGGGGGATTCATCCCACTCTCCTACCCAGGGCAGAATGTCCTACATGTCATTTCCAGCTTCCTGTGTTCTGGTTTTTCTGCAACTCAGAAGTTCTCGAGTGTTATCAGACCCAAGTCTTTCTATAAAATGATGTCTTAATGCTGTTTTTCACTCAGACAAGTAACTGGTTTCCCAAGAAGAAAAGGGCCAGAGCCCTGCTGCTGGAACAGGCTGGAGGCAGAGCGGGACACCCGCTCCTAGCCTGGTGGGTTCCACGTGGGGTTGGGGTGACCAGGTGGAGAGTAAATGCCATAACCCTGGGAGCTTTATCCCCAGCAGGGGGACCTGGCACTCACTGGGAGGTGAATCCTGAGCCCAGAGCCAAGTGCTGCCAGGGGGAAGGGTGCGCCACATCCAGAGCCCGGCCCACAGCTCTGGAGGCCTCCCCGTGCTGCAGGTGTGGCCCCTCGGCCCTGCGGCACCTCACTTCACAGTTAGTTGGGAATTAGTCTGTTACCTCCCAGAAGTACTGGGCTGTTTCACATCGTAACGCAGGGGTTGGGGAGCCCCGGTTGGCTTATCTGTACCTTATATGAAGTAGCAAGAATTTTCCCATAGACTCCCGGCTCCTGCACTGGGAGTCAGGCTGCGAGGTCTGCATCTTCCAGGATGACCAGGCAGCGCTCTGACTGCTCCCACCAGGGCCCCAAGTGGCCTGAGAAGGCAAGTGCCTGCCTCTTCCCCACCACGCTGCACAGTGCCCGGCTTTCAAAGGGAAAATCCCCTGTCTCCTCAGATTGACCTCCAGAAGATGCCCTTGGGGAAGCTGAGCAAAAGGCAGATCCAGGCTGCATACTCAATCCTCAGTGAGGTCCAGCAGGTAAGCGAGGAGCCGGCCCCTGCTCCGTCTCATCTCAGCTGCCCAGTGGGTCTCCTGGCTGACCCCTCATCTAGGGGGTGCGGCAGTACATTGACTCAAGGCTAATGGACGTAAATTCATGGTGATTTAGATTTTTGTCAGTTCAACAAGTATGACGAGTGCTGCCACTTGTGAAACAGGATCACAAAACTTATGAATTAGCAGTGTTTTCAGTGATCAGATATGTAATAAACTTCCTGTAAACTTGATGAGGAATTTGGTTCTCCCACTCATAAAAATCTTATTTTGTGTGCCCTTAAGAGTTGGGCTGAATTTATTTTGCAGTTAGTAAGAAGTCATCAGTTACAAAGCTAAGTAATGTTTTTCATTCATGTTCCCTGGAGTGTTCGAGCTGCGCCCTGGGGGCCCCACTTGCATTGGGGGGGCGGGGCAGGCTTGGCTTGTGAAAGAAGAGAAGCACACAGGAGGCTGAAGGCGGGCCGGGGAAATGGCCTTTCTGGCTGCAGCTGGAATAGGGGCCCTGAAATGGAGGAGGTGCATCCACTGAGAGCTGGTCCGGAGCACTGGCCTCTTGGTGCTACTCCGTCTGAGACGTGAGAGGCTTTCCTCAGCCTAAGCTCTTCCTGCTCCAGAACCCCCAGGTGCACGGGCTGGGACAGTGTCCTTACCCATTTGCACAGAGCAAACTGCAGCAGACAGAAGTTCTGTGACCTGAGAAGCCGATGTCCCTGTGAGAAGCAGATGTGCGGCTCCGAGTCTGCAGGGTGCCAGCACGCTGCCTCTGCCGTCCTTGGCCCGCCCGGCGTGTCTGCCGAGTGTGCGGTGTTCTGGGGTCCAGCCCCTCCTTCTCTTTGTGCAGTCATTGAACACCTTCTGCAGATAGACCACTGATTGCCTCTGTGGCAGGAAGGGGGACTTAGCCCTTCTGTGCCTGGCCACCTGGACCTCCTGAAATAAATTCCCTGCCTTAAAGATGACGTTCAGTGGATGAAGGGGGCCAGACTGAATTTTACAGCAGTGAGTTTTTTTTTCCTTTTAACATTCTACCATGAAAAATTTTCAAACGTACAAAAAGTTGAAAGGATTTTACAGTGCTTCCTATGAGCCTATCACCTGAATGCTACAATTAACGTTTTGCATGGCAGGTCTGTAACTCCACAGCTCTTTGTACAAATGAAATTTCATGGGAAGCTGATTGTGTGCTGAATCTCACAGTTTGAGAATGGGGATCCTGCCACTGCAGGGTGACAGCAGCAGGAAGGTGGCCGTCTTGGAAACTTTCCTGCGACCTTGGGACTGCACAGCAGCACCCACTTTCTAGAGGAGAGAGCCCAGGACATGCTGGGGGCTCAGCCTGTGTTCCATCTGTCCCCTCCCTTAAAGGCATTGTCCCAGGGCAACAGTGACTCCCAGATCCTGGATCTTTCAAATCGCTTCTACACCTTGATCCCCCACGACTTTGGGATGAAGAAGCCTCCGCTCCTGAACAACGCAGACAGTGTGCAGGTTAGCACAGGAGTCCAGGAGGGACCCTCTGGTCTGCTGGGCTGTGGTACTGCAACTCCGTCTTCCCATTGTGGCCCCTAAGGGCAGGGGTCTGTTTTGGGAGGGCTGCTTCTGTGTCATCATTTTCAGTGGGGTTTCTGCCCACATGGGTGGAGACCAGACCACAGCTAGCACAGATGGTTTTTCCTGCCTTGCTCCCCTTCATCAGTCTGGGGAAAGAGCCATGGGAATGGGAGAGCCTGTTGTATTCTGCTCCCTGGTCTCGCTCCCTGCCTCACCAGGGAGCCCATGATAAGTGGCCCGTCACAGTGTGTGCAGGAGGGAAGACGGGTCTTGCCGCAGGCTCGTGGCTTCCCTCTCCCCTTCCACAGGGCCCTCCTTAGCCTTCCGAGAGTCTCAGTGGTGTTCACTGTGAGCGGATGGCAGGCTGTTCCCGACCAGCCGGGCCTTCCCCCCCTTTGCTGCCCATCTGAGCCGCTGTCTGCGTGTAAATTTTCTGTCTCAAAACTGAGCAAATCTTTCTCCCTCACCTTGGGACCCAACTCATTCTTGCTTGTTCCTCTAGGCCAAAGTGGAAATGCTGGACAACCTGCTGGACATCGAGGTGGCCTACAGTCTGCTCAAGGGTGGGTCTGATGATAGCAGCAAGGACCCCATCGATGTCAACTACGAGAAGCTCAAAACTGACATTAAGGTACGATGTCCGCTCAAAACCGACATCCCTCTCCGGGTCCTCAAAACTGACATTAAGAACACCTTTCTGAAGCGTCCTAACCACTCATTCCAAGAGCCGTGGTCCCCAAAACTGAACGTGCATCAGAATCTCCTGGAGAGCTTCCTGAAACAGACCACTGGGGTCCAAGAATCGGCCTTTTTGTCCAGTCCCAGTTGCTGTGGGCGGCCCTTTGAGAACCTTAGAGTATCTCTCTCACCTACAAATAAGCATCCTGTTTGCAAGGCGGGCTGCATCTTTGTTTGGGTCTTGGGGGGGGCCTTATAGAAAGGTCTTTTATTCTTAATCTAGAGAGGATTGCTGTTTTTGGAAACTTGTGGCGGGAGCTCCAGGAGGTTTGCTGCTGGTATCCCATTTCAGGAGTGGCAATGCCTGATGGCAGCTGTCATAAAGACGCAAAGCCTGCGTTCGTGTTCCCCAGTTGAAGTGGCTGTGTTGACGCAGAGTCCCTGAACTTCTGCATTGGAGACTCAGGCAGAAACCACCCTGCCGGGCTGACCCAAGGCTCCTAGCCTGGGCCTGGGCTCATCGCCTGCGTGCTTCTCCTCGGGGCCTGTGTCCTTCCCTGCAGTGCTGCAGGGTTTGAGGTCACCAGCATCTGGTGAGCCTGCAGGGCCTGTTCACATCCCTAGAAAGAACCTTTGTTTCTTGCTTAGGAGGACAGAGCATAGATCTGTGGGTCCGAGCAGGCTGAGCCACTAATGGCATTTGTTTTGCCTCCGTGGGCACCTCTGGTGAGGAATGCTCTGGGATTGGTTATTTGTAGAGGGGTTGTTATTGTCCCCAGTTATAATTCTGAAGCCTTTTAATTAAGAGCAGAATTCCTAGATTTTTCCAAACTTTGGATAAGAATATGAAAACAGGGTGCACAGATTACATTAACTGGTTGACAGGTAGGTAGTGGGCCGATGCTCTGAGCCACAGCGTGTATGGCCCTGAGGAGTCGAGATGGAGCCTCCACCCCCATCCTCAAAATCCATAGCTGAGTCCTTGCTGCTTCTGATTGCAAGTCTTGGCTGTGGGACATCTCCTGGCCCACATGTCTTAGCTCCATGAGTTTGACTGTTACCTGGGAGCTGGTGCCTAGTTCTGAAGGCTCTCTGGGACCACTGGCCTGGGATCTCCCAGCCGTGGGGCCTTGGACATGGACTCTCAGTCCCATTTGGGCTTTCCTGAGGGCTTTGGTATGATCTGTGAGTCAGCCGAGCTTGTGGCTGTTCTTCCCACCTCCGTGTGGCTCTCCTGAGGCCTTCTTGCTCTAATTCCAAGACACCTTTCCCCAGGTGGTGGACAAAGATTCCGAGGAAGCCAAGATCATCAGGAAGTATGTTAAGAACACTCATGCAACTACACACAACGCATATGACTTGAAAGTCCTGGAGGTAAGAATCTCTTGTCTCTCCTCCCTCCTCCCTCCTCCCTCTGCCGGCTCTTCCTGCTCCTTCCTCCAACCTGGACCTGGGTGGGAAAGAGCAGTTTGCTTTGTTTGAAATAACCAGAGGAAGTGACTCATTAATTTCTCGAGCCAAAAATTAGTAGTCTCACAGTTTGGGGGTGGCTTTATCTGTTTTAAAAGACATTTCTGTTCTAAAACCTGGCCGTACAGCTGTAAATTACCAGAGATCCAAAAGGAAGTGCCCGCGGTCTTTGCCTGCTGCACCTGTTACTTATTTTTGCAGCTCTTCTCTGCTGGACGGGACCCTGACCGGTCAGGCTGCTCCATCCGGCCTGACCGGACCACCTTACACACCCCAAGGCCCGTGAGGCGTTTGTGTTCTAGGGATACCTGCTGGACTCCCCTGTCTCTGGTCAGGTTCTTGGGTTGACCCGAGTAACAAATGGCTTCTTTCATTTCTCCTTTACCTAATGCTCCAACCAGATCTTCAAGATTGAGCGTGAAGGGGAGAGCCAGCGCTACAAGCCGTTCAAGGAGCTGCATAACCGGCGGTTGTTGTGGCATGGGTCCAGAACTACCAACTTTGCGGGGATACTGTCGCAGGGTCTCCGGATAGCACCCCCTGAAGCGCCTGTGGTACGTACTCGCCTGCCCTGGAAAGTGTGGTGGCCCCTGTCCCTGCAGTTGGTTCCCTAAAGAGCTTTATAGACACTAAGGTGATGCATCGCCTGGCCCAGTACATCAGGGGCCTTGTTTGAAGAGGTGGGTGTTGGCTCAACCGTGGCTGGCAGGCGGCTGCTGCCAGGCGTCCCTCTCCAAGTCCTGAGCGCAACCCCAGGTAGCGCCTTCACTGCATCCTCCTGGCCCAGACTGTGTGCAGGGCGACCACGCGTGTATCGGGCAGAGTTACTGGAACAAAAGAAGTAAGGGGTTCAGGCCCTGCTGTGCATGTTAATTGGGATGTTGGCACGCAAAGAACAGGCTTCGGCCATGGGCCAAGGTGAATTGCCACTGCCTGTACCGCTTCCCAGCCAAATGACCTCCACGAGCTCCATTGTCTTCCTCAAGAGAACATAGTAGTAAATGAGTAAGGCCCTGCCGGGCTCCCCAGAAACAAGAGATTGTTAAGTCACCTGCTGGACTGCAGGAGTGACCGGCTGGACAGTTGTTACTGCACAGTTACTTAGAGGTGGTCTTCTAGGCCTCTTGTTTTGGGGTTGTGAAAAGTGGGGAGGGAAGAGATTTAATGCCTTGCTAGTGCCATGCAGTAGCACGTGATTTGGTGGGGTGACCCAACCTCCTGCTTCCCTTATGAAAGGGACTAAAAATAATAGCCAGCATTTACTGGGTGTTTACATGTGCCAGGTGCCAGTTTAACTAGCATGTGTTAACTCATTTGATTTTCACAACAGCCCCATGAGGTTCAGAGAGAAAGTGAGGTCCAGGAGATTAAGTACTTCTTGTGTCCCCTCAGTGCCTGGCAGACCTGGGACCTGGGCAGGCTGTCCTGGAGTTCATAAGGTGCCCTGCTGGGGGTGTTGAGAGTATTGGAAGTGGCTGTTGCAGTGCTCAGCTTGGCGCGTGGCTCACTGGTGCTCAGGAATAGGTGGTTCTCAGCTGTCTTTTCCAACCTTCCAGACAGGCTACATGTTTGGCAAAGGGATCTATTTCGCTGACATGGTCTCCAAGAGTGCCAACTACTGCCACACGTCTCAGGGAGACCCAATAGGCTTAATCCTGTTGGGAGAAGTTGCCCTTGGAAATATGTGAGTATGCCTGGCTTTGGGGCCGCTGGTGGCCCTTAGCGGGGTGGAGGGCGTGGCTCTGGGAGAGCTCCCCTTGGCTGGGAGGTGACCCTGGAAATTCCCCTCCACAACAACAGGACCCACCAGTTAGGCGGTAGGTAGCGGAAAACCATCTAAGTGAAATGAATGAGGGAGGTAGAGGAAGGCCTCACCAAACCGAAGATCGGAGTACAGCCAGGCCTTGGAAACCAGCACTGTCCGTTTTATTTTCTGGGGACTGGGAAGCAGAGAGGTTGACTTGTACGAAGGATGGTCGGTCACTCCACAGCCGCCTTGCTGATGTTTAGAGACCAACTCAGACTGAACTAGAGTCAACCCCAGTTCTAAATACTCTGATAGAGAACATCTGATTGGTCCAGCTTGGATTTGGTCCACTTTGGTTCCATCAGGTGTAACCCACAAAAGCAGGTTATGTAATAGGCCAGGGGCCCAGGGATCATGGACTGGACAAAACCCTCCAGAGTGGTTGGCCGCAGCTCTAAACAGAACCTTCCCTTAAAAGTGCCTCCAGAGTGGTGATTATCGGCACAAAACTGTTAGGAAACAACCACAGCTTCAGTTTCTGAAGCCAGCGCGGGAGGGAGCTCCTAGCAGTAAAGGTGGACTAGGTTCTCTGGAGTTTCTCTTTCTCTCACTTGACCTTGTTCTGCAAATCAGAAGAGCCCTGTGTCTCTGGGGCTCTTCTGAGACTGTCCTCTCTTTAATAGGTATGAACTGAAGCACGCTTTGCATGTCAACAAGTTGCCCAAGGGCAAGCACAGTGTCAAAGGTAATGTGTTTCCAAAGCTGCTGGTATGTCCCCAGACACCCTGGACGGCACAGGAGGGAGCTTTCTTTCCCCAGAAGACTGCATTCCTGTGGCTGGCTGTTAAACAGCTGGGGATTCATTTAAAATGTTTCACTCTCCGTCCATTTTCTGTGGCTGCAGCTGGCATCGCACATGCCGTGGGAGAGTCTTGGTTTGCGCACCAGTAACCACGTGCTGTGGCGCTGTGTTTTAACCTGACTTGTAACTCCTGCACTGAGGGACCTCTCGGGACCCAGTGGCACCTGGAGCATCTTGGATTGTAGAGCCCGTAGCACCTGATGACTTAGGAGCCCCAACTGCCTGGCTAAAGTGACTACTTTGGAATTCTGTTCAGAAATAATCACTTCAGGCCGGTGCCCTGGGAACTTGATTTATAATGTGGTTTTTTATCTGGAAGAAAGAGTATAGTTTGTACATCTTGAAAATGAACACAGAAACCCAAAATAAATGGAGCTCCTCTCCCTGGAACATTCTCCACACCTGTTCCCACAGTTCATCTCACTCCCGCCTTCTGTTTTGCAGGTTTGGGCAAGACCACCCCTGACCCTTCTGCCAGCATTGCTCTGGATGGGGTAGAGGTTCCTCTCGGGAGCGGGATTTCGTCCGGCGTCAACGACACCTGCCTGCTGTATAACGAGTATCCTTTCACAAGTGGTCTCTGAGCCGGAGGCGTGTTCTGGGACTGTCGGGTCGCTTGGGCCGCCACTTGCCCTGGGCAGACTGCTGAGAATCTGTCCTTTCACGGATCCCATGGTGAGTAGTTCCCCTCACTGGTCTCTCCCTTTTCGGAGTGAGACCCTGTGCCCTCTGTGGAACAAGCCCAGTGCACAGGGTGTGACCAGCCAAGCATTCGGCCAAGTTTGGGGCGCATGCGCACTCTCGGTCATGAAAGCACTTGCTCCTTGACACACTTCCCCTCCAGGTACATTGTCTACGATACTGCTCAGGTAAATCTGAAGTATCTGCTGAAGCTGAAGTTTAATTTCAAGACGTCTCTGTGGTGAACTGACTCGTGGCCGAGTGGCAGCCCAGTGACTCTGGTATGAATGTGCCTGGTGTGCTTTGCACTGGCTGACCAGGCAGAGGCCTCGGCTGGGCTGAACCTCCTTGGAGAGATTTGAACACTTGGTCACACGTCACACAATTTTCCCCAGCTTTTCAAATCCATTGTTCAGGTTGGTCTTGGGTGGGTTATTTGGGGACTTTTTTTCCCTGCCAGCCATAACCCTGGTAGGTACAACTAACGTTAGCAGAGGAGTTGGGGAGAGGGGGGGTTTGTCTAGACTAGTCCTAGGGGGAGAGCTAAGCCACGTAGAACTTCTGACCTACTGGTTTCCCCAGGGAGGGAAAAAATAATCTTCCACCCTTCTAAGTTTTCATCCTTAGCTTTGGTTTTGGAAAAATGTTAAGCATTTATTTTAAGGTAAAAATAAAAACTAATTTCATAATATTTAGATTTTTTTCTTTTATTGTCACTTGTTTTACTTTTGGGGTGGTGACCAAAAGGAGGAACATCAACAGTTTCTCTTACTTAAAAATAAAAGGTGCTGCCCTGGCTGGTGTAGCTCAGTGGATTGAGTGCGGGCCTGCGAACCAGACAATCGCTGTTCGATTCCCAGTCAGGGCACATGCCTGGGTTGCAGACCAGTTCCCAGCAGGGGATGCACGAAAGGCAACCATACATTGATGTTTCTCTCCCTCTCGCCTTCCCTTCCCCTCTAAAGATAAATAAATAAAATATTTTTTAAAAAAATAATAAATAAATAAATAAAAGGTGCTTTCTTTTCTAGAGACACTTAAATATGGAAATTCTCAGATTATGTAGTATTAGCAAATTAAAAGTTATAGTATTCAGTTAAAAGAGCATTTGAAATTCTCTGCTTCCCTATGAGCAGTTTTGTCTTCCAAATTAAAACTGTATCGCTGATATATTTGAGGGCTAATAATAATCCCCAGTTAATATGAAAATGACTCCTGCGTTTGTGTAATGTGGGTTTGGTCTCATTCTGACTGGGGACCTAGTTCATCTTCGCGGTGCAGAGTCCACAGAGACTACGGGAAGGTTGGGCCCGTGTTGCTGAAAAGCCAGAATGTGCCCAGCGGCAGACAGGGCACTGCCCAGCTGAGTGGCAGGAAACCAAACCCCAAAACCCAGGAAGCACTGCTCCAGGGGATCAGACCCATCCTGGTGGTAAACTCGCGTCCGCCTGTTGTTCCGTTGTGTGGAGGGTGTTTCACACACATACCAAATGGCCTCGGACCACCGCTGTGTCTTTGGTGGTGGTGCTTGAGTGTTTTCATTAAGTTCCTTGAAAACCGAGACATAGTATCTTAGGACATTTTTTATCTTTTACAGAAAGAGAACAGGTCCCTGGCCAGTGTGACTCAGTTGGTCAGAGCATCATCCCAGGGACCCAAAGGCTGTGTGTTTGATCCCCAGTCAGGGTGACCCAGCTGCATGTTCGGTCCCCAGTCCCGGTGCGTTCGAGAAGGCAGCCAATTGATCTTTCTCTCTCACATTGATGTCTGTCTCTGTCTGTCTGTCTCTCTGTCTCTCTTTCTCTTGCTCTCTCTCTGAAAGCAATGAAAGAAATGTCTTTAGGGGAGGATTTTTTTTTTTTTTTTTTTTTTTTAAGAAAGAGAATAAGGATTGTGGGCCTGAAGGCAGAGTCACAGGCAAGAGAGGCAGCAAAGAGAGCCATTGTCTCAAGCCCAAAAGCTACACTGGATTTTTTGGCAAGGGAGGCAGAGGACATATCATATCGTTCAAGACAGGGAAGAAGAAAAACATGTTTTCCCTGAATCACGCTACATATAAGTGATTATAACAGCACGTGCTATTTCTAAACTATGTTCTGTCCTATAGAAGCCATGTTTATGACACCATGCAGTTATGAGGGCCCTACAAACCTGAGTTAAGGTGTTAGATTTCAGATACAGAAACACAGCAAGTTTCTTGATAACAGTGGAGTCCCTAACTATTTCAGTGTCCTTAATTTTTATGAAAATCCTTAGCACCTTTGACCTTAGGCCCTGCCCCCTGCCCCCTGCCCCATCCTCATCCTGATTAGCTGGCCATTCAGTAGACTGTCAGCACAGAGAGGCAATTACCTTCATGGTACCTGATTGAACAAAGTATTTTTAGGTGGAGTGATTGCTTAGTGGGTTCTCTGTAATCATAACTGATCTCTTAAAGAGAGATTAACATTTCTTCAAAATGTCCTTTCTGAAAGAGGGTACCCACCATATTATGTCCCAGTATGCACGTTTTGGTTTTCTTTCACTTTAAAAATTCAAGTCGTATCTGGGTGCAGCTGAAATGTGTGCACCCTGAGATCAAAATTTTATTTTTAAAACTTAAAAAATAAAGCCGCTCCCCAGATACAGTGTGCCTAGATGAGAGATGAGGTGCTGCACTCTGCCTCCTGGTGAGCTGCCTCCCTCCCGTCTGTGCCTGCAAGCGCCCTTGGCCGAAGTAGCTGCCCAAGGCCGTGTGGCTCACATTTCAGACCACACTGTTCCTCGCATCGACCATTTGCATGGTTTTAAATATTCTAAGCATGATGTTAACCGATGGGCTTTGCACTGGTAGTTCTCTCGCACGTCCAGTGTGGCCCTCCTTTGTGGGTGGAAAGGAGCTCCCTCAGCCTTCCGGGTCAGGTCTGTGAAGCTGCTAGAGGGAAAGCTCTTGGGAACCCCACGGTGGGTGGACCTTGGCACTGCGCTTTTAGGCAGTCCCCTGAAGGCAGTCCAGTGGTATCCTGGCCCCGGCGGTATGCATAGTGCATCCTCTGTTAAGTATTCACACTGAGGGCTGCAAGGTGCATTGGCCTGTGGTCTCCAGAAGCCTTGTCTCCTTAGTGTCGGTACCTGAGTATCAGGAATGGTTTATCTTCAACCTGTTGGGTTGGTTTTGTTAGCCAGGTATTTCCAGGATTTCCTATTTCCCAAAGTAGTGTCACTTCCTTTCCCTTAAGTTTTGTGTTTCATCTCCCAAAAGAGTGGAATTTGCTTATTTACATTCATTTTATTTTAAGGAACGATGGTTTTTTACCATCGCTTCAGGCAGGGCCTTTCGCACTGAGACCCATTGGGGCTGGTTTACGAGGTCTGGTGCAGCCGTGGCATCCGACTGCCTCCTCACTCTCATTTAATCTCTGCCTGGAGTGTTACACAGCAGCTTCCGTTTGTCCCTTTTTCTTGTTTGTTTTATTTGGTTTTGAGATTTTAATTTCTTTTTAGACGGGGGAAGGTGAGGGAGAAGGAGAGAAATATCAGTGAGTGGTTGCCTCTTCTGTGCCCCATACTGGGGACCTGGCCCACAGTCCAGGCACATGCCCTGCCTGGGAATTGAACCAGTGACCCTTTGGTTTGCAAGCCGGCACTTAATCCACTGAGCCACACCAGCCAGTTTTGCCCCTTTTGCTGGCTTTTAATAGAGCAGTTGTTTACTAGTGTCCAAAGTAGGTAACTTAGGTTAAAAGAAGAGACTGTTCTACGAGGGATACTGTTGCGTGCGCCTGCCCCACCCCCAAGTACAAGTGATGGGTGGAGCAGAGGTCGGGCCCCAAAGGAGAGACACCGCTGTATTCCAGGGGTCATCTGAGCCAGGCCCCCGGTGTCGTGTCCTTTCTGCCAAGTTTCTGGCGGCATCAGACCTTTCTGAAGCCCTGAAGTCTCTTGGTACCTACATCTCAGTTGTTTTGAGAATAAGTGCTAATTCCTGTGCTTCCTGACCTTGATGTGCCCTCAGTAATTTTCAGCTGTTGTTGCTAAAATCCCAGGGGATGGTTTTGCTAGTGTATGCGTCTCCGGGTAAAAACGGAGGAACCAGGAACCAGAACAAGAAACAGTCCTGTGTTCAGTAGGGAGCTATTGGGCATTCTTGGGAGAAAGCGTAATGCTGGCTACCCAGGGGAGCCTATGCCCAGTCTCCTGTTTCCTCTGAAACCTCCCCATGAAACTGGTTTTCCCTCGCAGTGTGACTTCACCCTCCCACTCCTCCCGGCCATCCACCTTGACTGAAGGGACCAGATTCTCCAACACTGTCCCCCAGGCCCAAGCCCGCTTCTCAGGAAGGCCTTCTGGGGCTCAGAATAGCCCGGCTGCTGTCTCAGCAGATGGCCAGGCTAATTTTAGCCATGTGGTGCTCACCCAGGGACCAGGCTGGACTTTTTAGATTTGAATAAGCCAGTGTGCAACTTTGGTTTGGAGCCAATAATATTGCTAGTTGTTTTGATCTGTGTGTCTGCCTAGAACTTTACAGGCATTCCAGAAATGTAATTTTTAAAGAATTTTGTTTCTCTGAACCAACAAGAACCAAAACTAGAGCCAGCAGGCAGCGAAGGCCATGAGGTTCTGCGGACAAGCCAGGAGGACCACGAGAAGCAGATGGTCCTCTGCTTCCGTGGTCCTGCCTTGTCACTGACAGCAGGCAGGTGGCAGGTCCTCAGTATCCGGGGCACACTGACCTCATTGTTCTCTTTGTCAACACGAAAGAAGAAAGCCAGCCCATTAACTTCCCAGTCCAGCCCATAAATTTTAACTGGTGGAGGATGGGCTGCCTCTCAATGCTGTGGAAGAACTGATCAGGAAGAAGGGACCTGGAGATGCCATAAGAACCTCAAGACAACCTTGTATGAAGTAGGCAGATGTGGAAACTAGGCTCAGAGAAGGAGACCATTCACGGCCCCGATACAGGCTGGAACTGAGCAGGTTGAGAACCTGTGTTTCCCACAATGTTTCTTACTCATCACCACCACCCGCCCAGAGAAAGATGTCAGTAGGATGAGGAAACCAGACTCGAATTCAGAGCTTCCTAATCTGGATCTGTGAACTCATAGAAGATGGCTTGGTGGTCATCAGGAAATCTTTCAGCTCCAAGAAAAGGAAGGTCCAACTAACAACAGCTCAACCGTAAGGACACACGTGATCTCTTGTCAAGAAGTGGACAATGGCAGGATTAGCTAATTCAGCTTAGTATTTCTCTTGGCCTTCCCTTCACGGTTGCAAGATGACAGCTGGACTTCTAGCATCAACATCCAAAGGCAGAAAAAGGAAAGAGTTGGCCTCTTGACCTTCTCTTTGTTCCAGAGAGAAAAACAGTCTCTACTGCTTCCAGTAGACCAGTGTCATTGGTGAGGGTTGGGACGCAATGCCAGTGACCCAGCTGCAAGGGAGCTTGGACGTGGAATGCCTACCTGATGTGTTCAACCTGTTTAGGGGAAGGTGGGCTCTGTCTACCATTAAGGACCAAAAGAGTCAAGAATGGCTGAGTGCATGTCGCTCCCTGGAAGTTCGTGTGGAAGTTTAGGCACCAGCACACTGTTCTGGGCTGGGGGTCCACAGGCCCTGTAGATTTCTCAGTGGCCCACGAGCACAAAGGCTCTCAGAACTGCAGCTATAGGGTCACTAAGGCTCCCTCAGTCACTCTGACCTGTGATTTTTGTG